TATCCTCCAAACTTATCGGCTTGACCTTTAAAATTACATAGTATTTTGGTAGTTTTCTCCTACCCAGGATAAAAAATAACCAGTACTTGGAATTATGTATCAATATGACAAAATATAATATGCTTCCTAATCAAAACAAACGAATTACAATTGAGAATTCCTATATAATTCTAAACACTTATTGCTAAAAATATCCAGCAACACAAAAAGCGCGAATGAAAGGAAGAAAAAAGATATATAATGAGAATATAAGAAAGTATAACGTGTTACCGATTTGCTGACTGACGCACTGTTTGTCGGAACACTTCGATTTTGCTCATCCCTTTTTGACGATGCTTCATTCAACAAAGAACGTTTCTGCATTATCGTCTAAAATTCAAAGGCTAGTATCATCATAAGAGATACTTTAAAAGTTAAAAACATAACAAATATTGGAAGTTATACCCGTTCAGAAGTGAACTTCGATAAACGTGGTGCTTTTTCGGCTTCCAAATCTTCGTCATAATCAAGTTCTTCGGTTTCTTCATGATGTTCCACAATCTCGTCTTTTATGCTTCCTTCCTCTTGAATATCGTCATCACCCAAAATTGCCGACTCATCCAACTCGCTTAAGTTACTAACATCCTGACAATGATAATAATGAGTTGTTTTCAACGAATTTCAAACTTCCCGACAATCGAGCTTGTACCCAGAGTAAAGGTCAATTCATAAATAAATGTGGTAGTACTAGTATTCACGCTTACCAAAGAAGTTGAAAAAGATTTTGCATAAAATACCGTGTGGTACTATGCAACATGAGCATAAACTTACAAATGTACTCGGTGTTTCCAACAGTAATTCTTCTTCATCCATATTCTGCCGTTCTCAAAGAAATCTGATTGAAGCAATTGTTACACGATATGACAAAAAATATATCATTGAAGAAAATCACAAGAATGATAACTTTAACAAATTGTGTTCAAAAAAAGAAAGAATGAGAGAAATCAAACGAAATTCTAATGGCTTAAGCTTTTTTCAGACGTTTACAAAAAACCCTTAACCTTTGCAGCAAAAAGATATAGAAGAATAAATGGACAACGATTTAAAGAATTTAACATTTTTAATATAATCACTATATTAAAATACAGCAAACAATACCATTAAATCGAATCTAACTTGTTTAATCACATGGAAATAATCCATACATGCAGTGTAAATGTATATTAGATTATAGAGAAAAAAAAAACAAAACACTGAATTGGAAAGAACTGAAACCAATTTAGTGCTGAAATTACACGGCCCTTTTCACCAAAATAAAAACTTTTTTACAGAATCTATTAATTTCTAAAGAGTGTTACTATTAGAAGTATGGGAGAGTAAAGTTACGTACGTGACCTCTGTACGGTAATTTTAAAAGATAACACGTGTAGAGTGAAATGAAACAAACCTCAAGCATATACCCAAAACCTAAACATTTGCAAGAGAATTTACAGGATATTACGATCACGCTCTGTCAAGATGTCCTGTGTTAAATTTAATGAATTCCTGAATCGATTCGATATGAAAATTATGATCCCTCAGAGAGATTTTTGTATCAATATTGAAAGTTATTTTAAAAGTTTGATGATTTTGTTAATTTTGAGGGATATTTTTTAACTATACTAATTTTTGTTTATAAATAATCCATCTAATAGTTGCTTTTAATGTGTTTAAAAAGGGTTTTTTTTTTTTTTTTGGTAATATTCAGTGATTAGTTATTGATAAGAAAGCAAAAAACAAAAACGAAGTGATTAAAACTTTTGATAAATGATTGTTCTGAAAAGATAATAGAATGACAAATGATTATTCTGAAAAGATAATAGTTGAAATAGATATATGAGTGATATGTTGGAAATTTTCTTTTGCTGATATTGCATTCATCTTACTGATAATTAATAGTAATGTAATTTAAAAATTATTCAATTCATTAAATATCAATAAAGCAGTTTAATCACTGTATATGATTGAGGGAGATAATATTAAAAAATCTGAAAAGCTATAGCATATAGCATCTATAGCAATAAATCCATCAAAGAGTCTAAAAAAAAAAATGATTTTTCAGGTTAAGTTTAAAGGTCATGTTAAGTTTAAAGTTTAAATGTTTAGTTCCTTCTTTCTTTTTTTCTTTTTTTTTTTTTAATTCTTTACTTTTACTAATAACACAATGAAATTTGTTTATTTTTGCTAAATCATTAAAAAATTGGAGAAGAAAAAAAATGGAATTTCATAAATTAATTTTTGAAAATTTGAACATTTACTTAATGAGTAGTATTAATGTAATATAAGAATTAAATATGTTAACATTAGCTGTTATTATGTTAATTACTGTCTAATTACTTAACATTTACACCATCAAACTTTTATAATTATCACAAATACTTTATGAAATCAATTTTTCATTATTAGTTTTTTCTTTTTATCTGATATTAAAAACGTACAGTGTAAACAAAAATAGGCGAAAATTTATGCGAAATGGAGTGTTTTATTTTGCACCATATTTATTGAGCTTCATCATATCAATTATTGTTAATTATTGAATTCCACGTCACTTTGATCAGAATGACAAATATTTGTTGAGAAAAAAGAAATTTAATATTTCCATGTCACCGTTTGAATGAGCATATATGTATATATATAAAGAGAGAGAGAGAGAGAGAGTCGATTATCGTCAATGTATCTTCGTTAGGTAAGCTGAACTTCGTGGTGGACATGGGCAGTAATGAGCATCTGGTCCTGGTAGACCCGGCCTACCAAGCTAAAATATTATATGCTAATTATGAAGTTGTCAAATGGAAGAACGAAACAATATCTTACTTATCCATAAAAAGTTAAATGTGATGTTACATCATTAAACATTTTAAAAAGAATAGTAATGTAAAAAATTTAAGTAATTTTAAAATTCTTAAAAAAAAGAAAAATGTCAAATATACCGCTCCAGGACGTCCATCATTGCCTTTTCTACCATCATTTCCTCGTCGTCCTTCCATTCCCTGTTCTCCTGGTTCACCATCGGCACCTCTGCTTCCATCCGGACCTGGCAAACCTGGTGGTCCTCTTGGTCCAGTTGGTCCTTTCGGTCCTTGTGGTCCAATGCCTCGTTTTCCATCTCTTCCTGGTGATCCTGGCCTTCCAGGTGCTCCATCAGGTCCTGGTTCACCCATTTCACCTGGTGGTCCAACTGGTCCACGTTGTCCACTTTTGCCCGGTATTCCAAGTGATCCACGACGTCCTGTGGCTCCATAATCTCCTTCTAAACCATCAGGTCCAGGTGGTCCCTGTCGTCCCGGAGGACATTCTATGCAACCACCAGGAAAGTGATATGTCGCTAACAGTGATACACCACTGGCACCATCTCTGCCATCGTTGCCAATCGGTCCATCAATACCTCTTAGACCTTTATCACCTGGTGGTCCTGGTGGTCCCGGTGGACATAATTCTGGCGCTTGACATTCTATAATAAATTTTATCATTTTATCCAAACTGCACATTTCTGAATGGAACTGATCTCCAAATAATTTCTAGAATTTCAAAACAAATCAATCTTGGCTTAATTCAATTTTCCTTTGTTTTATTGATTCAATGTTAAAAGTTGAAAACGAACGACAATGTGGTGGTGGAATGAATTGTCGTTTGTATCGGTTAATCAAAGAGGAGAATGTTTCTTGTCGACGACCACCTGGACCAAAGTGAAGCATTACTATTCTTTCCCAAGTATCATCTGCAACTGTCTGAAAGAATATTGAATTTGATCCTTCTTAATTATCATATACTCATAAATTATCATAATTAATTAACTCATCTAATAGTATTTCATATATCTACTTCTAAACTTTTTATAATACTGTAAATGGTCAAATAATCTAGCGGTAAACATAATCATTTGCGCATGAATTCTCAATAGCTATTATCATAGTATCACATTTCAAATTTGATAATGGTTTTTTGAAAAAAAAACGAAATGCATAATAATTAACATTATTATATTTAAATGTTCTTAATTCTATTCTTAAATAAACTTACTATAAATTGTAAAACAAATAAAACAACAAAAAAATGAAATTCTAAATTAGAAATTTGACATTCATAAAATTACTAACTCTAAAGACGCCCATTTCATCCATAACATCCTCATGCAAATTGTTTATTTCATTAAATATTACACAAACAGCGACCAATGATATGACAATGATACAGGCGCAACTGGCCGTTGCAATACCAATCATTGATTTGGTGCTCATTCTTTCCCTGTAATCTTATCACAGTAATTTAATTAAATACTAAATTAAATAAGTGTCTTTCAGTTGCAATTCTCTGACATCAAAATTTTGAGTTAAGAAAGAAAAAAATTAAAATTGATGAAATGATAATAATATGAAAAGAGTATGACATTTTATAATACAATCAAAACAGGCTAAGTTAAACTTTTTATCAATTCTGAAATAAAATGAAAAATTTTCTCAGTCAAAATGTAATTCTAAAATTTTCCAAAATGCTAAAAAAATATTTGTAGTTTCTTTCTTTCTTTTCATTCTTTTTTTAAAATATAGATCAGAAATTTTTTTTTTTTTTTTGTGTTTTAACTAGAAAAATTTTCAAATATTAAATAAATTATATTTTATCATATATTTTTTAATTTCTTAAAATTTAATTACAATTTCTTAACTTTTAACATTTTAATTTTACACAGAAAATTTGAACATAAAAATTTTATATTAAGATTTGATTGATTAATTTGATAAGAAAAGGAAATTATTCAATTCATTATTCTGCATTTATTCATCTTACCTTACCATCTAACCTACTGTTACAATACAATGAAAACTGTACAAAATGTCATTTTAGAAAATTGTTTCACATTAAAAGTATTTACAGCATCTTTATAAAGCAGGTATTTCTCTTTTGAAAAACCAATGATATTTATGAAAAAGGTATATAACAGGTAGCTGAAATGTCCCACCCAATACATATTGCTGTCACATGAAATGTTTGAAAGAAAACGAGACAAGAAAAGTGTGCAATCAGGTAAAATTTTCATTTCGGAATAAAATTTTCATGGAATGATCGAAGATGAAATTAGATTTAATCGAATGGAAAAGAACAATTGTTGCCATAAATATTTTTCATCATTTTTTAACTCATTTAAAGAAAAAAAAAAAATGCAAAAAGCACATTTTGCTTTTTCTTATTAGCCACATCAATACAAAATATTCATTGAAGATTTAATTTAAAAAAAAAAAAAAAAGGAACAAACCAGTTTTCAAACTAAATCTAACTGATTGCATTATTGGAAAGAAAAAAAAAAGAAGCATAAACGACAGTGATAACAAGAATTTTTCAGAAAAGAAAAATTTTGTACGATATAGTGAGACGGAAGGAAATAAATTGGTAATGTTGCTGAATCGTTTCATTTTCTTTCAGTTTTTTTCTTTTTTTTTTTTTTTCACTTTGAAATTAAATTTTGAAAAAAGATTAAATTGCTATGACTAAATGATAAATTCAAACAGTAATAATTCAAACTTTTTTTTTCTGTTTTTATTTTTTCTCTTTTCATTTTTTTGTCCTTCAAATAAAATTTTCATTCTCTCTCTCTCTCTCTCTTTATCTCTTTTATATGAAATTTTCTTTCAAAACAAGAGAAAGAAAAAGAAGCAAAAAGTATCATGAATAAAATTTCAACTGTTGAATAGCAACATATTTGTATAGTACAAACTCTATCGAAAAATTTTCTACAATTTTTTTATCTTTATTTCTCTATCTCTCTCCCTCTCCCTCTCTCTCTCTCTCTCTTTTCTTAATTCAAATTGTATACAGAGAGATGCGAAAAAGTGATTTTGTTCGTTTATTAACATTTTTTTTTTTTTAAAAAAAAGTGTTTCTGAAACATTTTACCTTTATGCAACAGTAACTGTGCTTCTTTTACAAAAGGTCAAAGGTACAATCCTCAGAATGAATGTGAATAGTGATAAAGTGATAGTATTGATATTATCACTACAATTATCATTATCATATATTATCAAGAACAAATGTATATCATCATTTAGACTTTTTGGCAATACCAAGGACCGAGAGAAGACAAAAAGAAATCGTTGCATAGATTTGTCCTATTAAATGGAATTGAAAATTGCAGTGAAAATGCATATTATGCCGAAATGTCTACTTAAAATGGCATTTAATGACTATAAGGAATTTAAACAATTTTTTGCTTTGTTCATTATAAAATTCAAAAAAAAAATTTTTTTTTGAATATTTCTAAAATGTAATAATTTAAATTTGAATAAGAAATGAATTTCGAAATTTAGATGAAAATTTTTATGAATCATTGCTAGTAATAGCTAATTTCAAAAGTTAGCTAATTCTGACATACTGAATTTTTAAATACTTCTAAAACATTGTGCATTTAAAAAAAAATGTATTTAAGAAGATTATGCTGAATAAATTTTGAAAATACCAATTTATCAATTGGAAGAATATTGTTAAGTTCAAAATTCTTTAAATAACAATTGAAAAATAAATTAACAAATCTACATTTTTTTTTTTTGAAATCTCAATTTATTAAAAATATGAACAACAAACATTAGTATCAAATACTAATTTGCATTATGTCTAAACTGTTTGGACTGTTACATTTGACCTTATTTCATCTGAATATCTAAATGTGATAAATAAAATGAAATTTAAATTGAAAAATTGTTTTCGTCCAATCTTCAATTGCTAAGTAATACATATATTTTAAATATTTTCTTTAAGTGACTATTTTCGACTATAAAACAATCAATTTAAACTATTACTAAACAATAGTTTAAATTAAATTAAACAAAACATTAAAAGATAAACCTATCATTTAATAAAACTTAAAATGGTTATGAACAGTTTTAGAGCAACTTGTAACGTTACTAAAGTGATGTAAAATGACGAATTTCTCTTTCTCCAAACTTTTTTTCACATTCTATTTGCTGAATTCTGACTACTTTAAAAATAATTTTTAAATTTGAACACAATTGTTATGACCAACTAATAAATAATCAAAAATTGGGATTTTCAAAAGATGCATAAATTCACGGACACATAGACATACACATACACACACCACATACATGCACATACACATAATTGAAATTTATATTTTTACAATTTAAAAAAAAAGAAAAAAAAGGCAATAGAATAAAATTAGTTTAAAGAAAAGGTAAAATCATTGTTATCATTAGGATTGAAATGATAAAGTAATGGAAATAAACTAGCAGAATGTAAAAACACTACAAGAAATCTCGGTACATTCACTAAGAGATTGCTGAATATGATATCAATTAAGTATTTAATTACAATATCATATAATGTGTCATTTAAAAATTAAAAAAAAAAAAAGAAAAAGAAAGATCATAATTTTCCATTTATTATTTTCCATCAAGAGATCAACATTTTCCATTATCAGTGATATATCAGTAATATCAATGCAATTAATTATACCATTCCTAAAGTTTTGAAATACAATTTCAAAAAGAAGAAATCAGTAAGTTCTATACAAAAAAAAAGAGATATCATTGAAAATTATACAAATAAGTTTGATAATTCAGTGCAATTTAAAAAAAAAAAAAAATTTTTTTTTATTTTCATTCGTTTTTTTATTGCGATCATTCATTAATTCATTATTTCCTATAAATAGTTAATGTAATTGCAATGAAATTATTCAATAATTATTGAAAATTTTTACAATATATTAAAATTAATTTAAAAAATTCTCTAAAAAAAAATACTTAGCAAATAAGATGAGAAATGTTTAAAAAGCACTGAATATGAAATAATCAATAAGTTAAGTAATGTATTAATTTGTGAAATGAAATGAAATTTTATGATCGTCGAATTCGTAGCCAATAAGGATTGCCAGTATTTGAAATATGACTGATTGATCGAAGCTCGTAGTGATGTATACTAGATTGTTGGTGGGTTGAAAATTTTTTCTTATTTCTAAAAAAAAATTAAATGTGATAAATTCTGATAGAGTGATAAAATTTAATTAATAACTGAATAAAGTGATAAAATTTAATTAGTAATGAATTAAAAATGCTATATTAGAAATAAGAAAGAGAAAATTTTATATATATATATATATTTTTGTATTTTATATTTTTAAGTAATTAGTAATTATATTTATATATAAAATTTATGAGAGAGAAGAAAATTTTAAATTGAAAAAAAACTTTAACAGTTTTTTTTCTTTGAAACGAATGTGTTAATGTTAATTTAAATAATTTTAATTAAAAAAAAATGATTTTTTCAAAGCCAGTTTTCATGTATTTATCATTTTTTTTTTGTGTTTTTTGAAAAAAATTCTAAATTTTAAAATATTCATACCGTTTTTTCGACACTTTTTTCTCCATTTGTTTTTCATTTTCAGAATAATTGTCAGTTTGCTGCAAAATATTTAATTTAATTTTTCAACCATATACCTTAAAAAAAAATTTCACTCATTAAATGCAAAATTAATTAATTTTAAAGCAATATTTTGATAGAAATTTTTGAAAACATTAAATTTATATTCTACAAAATTTAATTCTTATTCCTTGCTGATTATTTTATTAGCATTAACAATTTGCTAATTAATTAAATTATTTCACATTCACAAAACTTAATTTGCGAAGCAAAATTAGCATAAAATGACTAACCGTGCTAAAAAAATATAAATTTAGAAAGCTATTAGCAAATTTTCTGCATACTGGGCAAATCTTGGTATTTTTATCGACCTGAAATTAATCAATGAAAGCTATAAGTGAATAAAAATTAATTTATCTACAGATTAATCGATTTAAAAAAGGAAAAAAAATAATAACAAAGATTGGTATTTTATATTTAAGATTAAATTATCTAATAGATATTATTTGAATCTGCCGTTTTTTTTTCTTATATTTATTTCAATACTTATATCATCTACTAAAATTTTTAAAAATCTCATTTTAACTATTTTTTTAATTAACAAAAAAAAGTAATAAAATAAAATGTTTGTTTGATTTAGCTAAGATATTTTTTTTTTTTTGAGTTTTACAAATACTTTAGCAACTAATATTCATTTGAATTGCAATTATTCAAATTTGTAAAAATTTCTGAAATAAGAAAATAATTCTACGAACCGCTAACCACGATGAAATGCACTGTCGATGAAATACATGGCCACATTTTAATGCTGCAAATGCAATTAGTCCATTATCAGCTTCCAAACAAATTGGACAATTTACCATTCTTTAATTGCTACAAAGTTCATTAATTGTTTATAATTAATTATTATCAGGTAAGCATAGGTGAATTTTACAATCATTGTTTGTTTAAGTATTATTTAAACATTTTAACATATTATTGAAATAATTTAAAATGTGACAGAAAAAAAAAAGTACTTTTCTTTGTTTTGAATTAAAACAGTAGTTTACTTATCAGAAAGATACAAAATGGAGGCAAAAACATCATCTTATGCAATCAAAATTAAATACAAATAATAAAAAAGGTCAGAATGAGAAGAGATCAGAAAAAGAATGTGCAGGTAAAAAGTAATGAAGGAAAGACATGAATGTGACTTCAGTTCAGTTTGACCTTAGAGCAGAGCAGACATCAACAACAGGAAAGTAAGTCGTCGAAGATTCGATCGATGATAATAAACATATTAACTAGATGAATTCAATATATACATATATATTTTATAATTATTAAAAATATTAAACAAAAAAAGAAGAAGCAGAAGTGGCAATGATACCGTTCAAATTATTTCAATCAAACAAAAATGCTAACTAATACATTTTGATTCATTTATTTATAATTATTTTTTAATAATTTATACAAATTTATAATATTTTTAATGCTATTATCACTGGTTGATAAAAGGTAGTAAATAATGAATAAATGGAATATAATAATTATAAATAAAGAATCATCAAAATTGATCATTGCTTAGATGTTTTTTTCAGTAATTTAAGTTAACATTTAAATTACGAGTAAATTCTTTTAATTAATGATTATAAATTAGGTTAGAGTGAAAAAAAAAATGGTACTAATAGAAGGAATAGTAGGAAAGAATAAATATTCAAAAGGAACTTTTTGTTTTCTATCATTTCAAAATTTTATTACATTTCAATTTAGCTATCACTGACCTTTGTTGAAGTATTAACAGTTCATTACGATCACTCAAAAATGTCAAACGGATTAAGCTAATAATTTAAATAGGTCAATGAGTTCATAGAACAATAAACAAGGTGACAATCAATTTTGACAAATAATTATACATTAGAAAATATTACATTCGTATTAATTATTGGTTTCTATAGCGCAACAAAATCGCGCGATAATTTTTTTTTTTCTTTTGTTAGATTTAGGTAAACTTAATTAGATTTTTTTTTAGATTTAATTAGGTTGTAAAAAAAAGAAAAAGATGAAATAAATATTTTTACAGAAATTTTTTTTTTTTTTTTTTTTACATTTAACACTAACAATTTAATTATCCTTTTAATAGAAACTAATGATGGAACTATATGTTTCATAATTGAATAATCTGATGACAATTTAACGATGTCATCAACACCGATGTTTGTCACCTGATTTTATTATACTTTTTTCTTCAATTAATTAACTCTTTTTAAAACTATTTTAAATTAATCCAATTTTAAATTTCCCATCGCTCTAAATTATCATTTCATCTTTAGATTGCTCAAATGTTGCCTGCTGATATATTTTCAAATTAATTAATAATTCACAAAATAATTCTGTGCAACAAACAATCGTATCATTTTTATTTAGAAAGCATACAAATTCAAATAAATTGTTGAATCATAAGAAGAAAAAAAAAAAGAGTAACTTAGCATACCAATTATTTCGTTTAAAAAAAAAAAAAAAAAATTAAAAATTAAAAAAAATTATGCAGTAGATAGAGCACACACTAAAGTTATATTTGATTTATTCGCAAAATGATTTCAATTCAGTTAAATATAACTATGATAATTCAATTTATAATCAATAAACTTTCAATTTTTTTTTTCCTTCAGAGATCCAAAAAAGGAAAAAAAAATTAATCTAATGAATGAATTGGCAGCAGTATTTTGAGTTGAAAAATATAAAATTAAAAAAAAAAAGACCACATATGATCAAATTAGTAAGCACAATAATATATCACATTAATCTATATTCCTTATCAAAAATTATCATATAATTAACACACTGATATCAAAAAAAAAAGAAAAAATTATGCGTAGTTTTTCCAAAAATGCGACAGTTCACAAAAGCAAAACAAAAAAGTTAAAATAATAAAATTTCCATTTAAAAAAAAAAAGTTGAAACTATTAAAATAAGAAAAGAAAATTAAACTTTTAATGAAAGTAAAATGTGAGCAAAAGTACAAATTTCAGTAAAATAATAATAATAATAATTGACAGTGATTATTAGATGAGGAGTATATAAGACAACAAAAATTACTTAGTTATACTTGGTAAACAGTGTATTTTTAATTAATTATGCATTACAAATATTATAAACATTAATGATTTTAATTAATATCATTAGTAATCAGAAAAAAAAAGTGGAAAAAATTTCATTCATACATAACAAATATATGAATGAATCGTTTTTGTTTTTGTTTTTTTTGTTTTTATATAAATTGATAAAAAATTAAATTAAAATAAAAGATTATCAAATACTATTTTCGTAATTTTTTATTATATACTATTATAGTAATTTAAGCAAATATTTGTTTTAAAGAAGAAGAAAAAAAAAAGGTCAAAAAGGTCAATTCTATGTATGTATAGGAATGCAATAACATTTCGAGAAATGCAAAAAGAAAACAATGGGTACGAGAAGAAATAAGGAAGTATTGAAAATGAAATATCAGTATATCATCGAGCACCGTTATCACTTTTATTCTATTATTCATATCATTTTAAAATAATTATTTGCTTAAAAAAAAAAAAGAGAAATGTTAGACTAATAATAACAACGACTATTCTTCTGGCCTTTTCTTCTTTTTTTTTTTCCCTCAAATTTTATTTAGCAAATGTATCCATATATCAGTTTATCGTCTTCCAGTTGTATATTCCTGAAATTAAAACAAAATTTATAAACAATTAGTGATTTTATATTTTTTAGTTTCTTATATTTTTTATATTTTATATTTTTTAGCAATTAGTAATTATATATATATATATATTTTAAATTTTAATGAAGCAAAATGAGATTAAAAAATATAAATTACAGTAGAATGATAGTGCATTAATAAAAATTTGAGATATATTATAAAAACAAAACAAAGCTTATGTAATTAGAATCATCGAAAATAAGGAATTTATAACTATATTCAAATTATACTTTACTCAAATATTACACTAAAATTTTCTGTAATAAAAATTTCCGGCATTTTCCGGCAAATTTTCTATACTTAAGAATGATATATGATATCATTAACCTATGAGGAAAATTTCCGGCAATACATTCTGTTGTAATTTACATAATTATTAAATATGCAATATCGAATAATTGTTCGATCATATAATTCTAATATTATATTAATTATCGATGAAATAAATAAAAATGAAATTAAATACATAAAATCTTTTTCAATTCAAAGGAAAAAAAAATGATATCATTAATTAAATTCACTCTCATTTTTATTTTTACTCTTTTTTGTTTTAAATTATATAACATCAAAATTATCAAACATACTTCTTTGTATGAGCGCTGATATCGCTCTTCCACTCTTTCTCGAATTGGACCACCTTCTTCTGTTCCATCTATAAATATTCAAAAAATTATTTGTGCAAAATATTAAAAAATTAATTTCATTTTTTTTTTTTGCACCCAATAATATTTCTAAAACATTTTAATCAAATCAAAAAAAAAAAATCAAAAAAAAATTAATTAACGCAATTTTATAATGAAGAAAAAAATACCTTTAAAAAAAATATATAAAAAGTTAAAAAAAATTCTAGTTTATATAAAATTTATATTTAGTGAGGGAAAAATCATATTTTTCAAAGGTTATTTCAACAAAAATTATCACACACTTATGCAAAGCAAAAAATTCCACATAATTTCAATTAAAACAAACAAACAAACAAACAAAAAAAAAAAGAAAAATCAATTTTTCTTATTATAAGCATTAGACATTTTTAAAAAAAAATTCATTTCACATTGTGCAAATTGAAGCATTCATTAAAGCAAAAGAAAAATTTTCATTTTATCTTTTCCATTTTTTTTTCGTTGTAATTGTAATCAAAACTCTTAGACGATGAGTTTCTCGTACCTCTGTCAACCTGTGACAACGAGTTACTGTATTTTTTCATACGATCCAATGTCTGTCCCATCGGTTCATTGACAATATCAATTAAATCATCAGGCCAATTATGCGATGAGAAAGCTGTTGTCCTTCCACTACCAGCTCCTCTCTCATTTTCTGCAAATTTTATTCTGCAACTTTTTTTTTTTTTCGTTTTTTCTTTTTTGTTTTTGTTTATTCTTTTCTTGCATATTTGTATTGCTTTTTTGATTTGTTTTTTGATGTTTTTTTTTTTTTTTTTGTTTGTTGATTTAATGCTGCAATCGATTTTAAAATGCTAAAAAGTTTATTTTTCACTGTTTCAGTATCGTTAGCATTTAGCTACTATGAATATAGCACACTTATACATAAGCTAAAATTAAAACTAAGCTTAAACACTTTGAATTATCATATCAATAACACTCAAACAATTCTCGATATCATTTCTGATATCAAAAATTGTCATATTAGTTTAAAAAAGGAAAAAAAAAATTGGCATTGTGCAAACTGCAAACGTGACTCGCTTTTTTTTTGTGTGTTTTCTTTTTTAACTTGTAAAAATGTGCAGTGAAAAAAGCAAAATTGTCATAATTTTTAGAAAGCAATTCAAATATTTCAAAAAAAAAACGAAAAATAAACATAAATAATTCATAAGAAAAAAAAAATGAAATAAAATTATGCATTTATGTATCAATGAAATCTTAATTATTTATAATATATATATTTGTTTTCGTTTTTTTTTTTTTGTAAAACTTATTTAGTAGTAATTATTAGATAAAAATCTATGTAATGTTTTATAAATAAAAAATTATTACAGTAATTAGCAAAGATACCTCCTCTACGAGTACTGAATGAGGTAGAAGCGGTGGCTCTTGGACCATAACTAGCACCTGCTGAGGCACCACTACTTGAACCAATGACACCGCCAGATGCTTCGGCACTTCTCATTTCACTCTTCGATGTTCGATATGTATCTAACAATTAAAAATCATTTCAAAATATTATTTAAATCTCGAAAAAAAAAAGATGGACAATGAAGTGCTTAGCATGCATAATTAACAGTGATAAATTTTGATTCTAATTTTTTTAATATCGGCAAAAAGTGCGAGTTTTATCTAATTTTGAATTGCAAATTAATTTCCTTCTCAATCATTTCCTATCATTAAAAATTTTGTTCTCTACAAAAAAAAAAGAGAAAAAAACTTAAAACTTTTTGTAGTATAAGGTAAAAAATTTTGGTGGAGAAAAAAAAATTTGCTTACTCAACAAATCATGCTAATAATGATAGCATATATAGTATCAAATGTAGGCGGAAAGTAACTTAGGAAAAGTAAGTGGCGGAATTGGTAAAGTGAGCGTCTTTGATTCGTTTAGATAAGTGGAAAATTAAACTGTTTGCTATATTTGCGTTAAATGAAAGTTTAAGAAAAAGATGAAAAGAGGGGAAAAAAGAAAGTGATAAATTCAATAGCTATCACATATATATGAGTAAGTAAGGGTTCCTATCTGAGTAATACTTTATCTAACTTATTGAAAGCTTTCGATTAAGTTATAGTGTTTCAGTAGGTACGGTGACGTGTGGTGCTTTAATAAGTATTGTGAAAAAGGTGTCGCAATATTGTGATATATTTGTGTCAGGTGATAATTTGTGTCACGTTAAAAAAAAGAAAAGAAAAGGTATGGCGGAGTGCATGCTAACCATAGTCATAATTTGAGTATGCACGGGTACGTGATCGCATTGTATCGTTCATGTACCCGGTGTCGGAGCTATAGCCACGCGCTGTTAACTGATCCGGTGAGCGTGATAGTGTATCAAGTTCACGTTGTAAAGTGTGCAGTGCATCACGACGTGTGTGAGGTGTTGAAGGTCCTGGACGAGTTCCGTCCAGTAATGTTTGCGATGCATAATGACGTGGACTACCCATATCGCTACGGCTACGATACGTGTAGCGACGTGAATATGTATCAGTAAGGGGTCTTTCGGCAGCTGATGCACGACTGATATATGATGTTCCGGTACCGGAATACAGACGAGCACGTTCTGACTGTTCTGCAAACAAAACAGCAAACAGAAATATAAAATGTAAGTATTGCACACAGTAAACAGTAAAAACTGAAATTATTTTCAAGGAAAATTATAAAAAAAAAAAAGTAAAAACTCAAAAATAAGAATTTTAGCAGAAGCAAGCTTTAAAAAATAAATTGGCCAGAAATTATTCTTATTAGCCAGAAAGACCTGAAATAATAACAACAAAGAATATGAAAGATTATTGGCGATAGAAAGCAACAAAATGACTGTAATAAATAACGAAATGATAATATTATTAATGCATAAATTTCATAATTATTCTAATATTTATTGCAAATGTTTCTTTTAATTTATAAAATTGCATTTCATTTCAAACAGTCATTTTATTGCTTAAATTTATATTTCATTGGTTAATAGCCAATAAATAAAAGAAAAAGAAAATTTCAAAAAAAAAAAAAGAAGAAAACCACACGTGCTTAGGTGTAGTAAAATAAATTATCTACTCCTTTTTTTTTTGGTTTGAAAATCACTTAGTAATTATTACTTTTACTCGCACATGAATAAACACATGAAAATTTTAATTTTTGAATTTAACTAGTATTAAATTTGATAGTGAAAAAAGGAATTAGATTAAATTAATTAATTATTTGAAAAATTTCACATCAAAATTTTCAACTTGAAATATTTCTATCAATTAACAGTTTAAAGAATCATTATATCTTTTCATTAAAAAATTGCAAAAAGTGAGAGAGAGGAGGAAAGAGAGAGAGAGAGAGAGAAGAGAAAACCTCTAGCAAGCTCTCGACCAAGTGCTGATGCAGAAAGTGAGCGTCGATTTCTTGCTAAGCTACCATATGCCTCGGCTTCACTACCATATTTCAAATAATCACCTGGCTAAAATTTAAAAAATTAAAGAAAAAAAAAGTTTCATATTTGTTCTAAAATTTCTTTTCAAAAATATAACAAAAACAAGAAATATGCTATATTATTGTTTTAAAATTTCTTAAATTAAACATTTCATTATATACGGAAAATAATTATTTATAGAAAAAAAGAAAAATTGACTGTATAATGTCTCCTAAGGGTTGATCTTCTCGAAGAAGATGTAAGCTCCTCTAATTCTTGCTCCAGTTGACGACCGGTTGTAGATGAATAAGCTGATACAGCAACACCGTCCGGTTGTTGATTATCTGAGATAGTCAAATTTAAATTTAAAAAAAAATAAGAAATTTAGAAATTTAAAAAAAAATATATACAAAAAAGAAAAAAAAAGAAAAATCCAAATTATTGGAACAATTCCAGTAACTATTTGGAATTCACAACTATATTGGAAGATGGGAAGCTATTTTGTACTGCTTATTATAATATTAATTAAATAATGAAACAAATAAATAGAAAAAAAAAACTTACAAACATGATAAATCTTAGTTGTATGCGTTTCATCACCACCACCTCTCGATTTGTCTTGCAATATTTCAGTAAGTTTAGTAAGACTCTCTTGCAAACGTCGAGATTCTTCAAAGCTCTACAAAAAATTTAATTCTTTCAAAATTACATAGCAATAAAAATGCCATTTGAAATAAAATAGAAAAATGCAAAATAAGGGCTAATATATAATAAAAAAATAAATAAAATTATATCATTACAAACAAAATTGTAGAGTATATCAAATTTAAAAATATTTAAATTCTCACTCGTTGTCCAGAAGTTCGACTTGCAATACCTTCCTTGAATCCATCAATATAGCCGGTACGAAATTCTTCCTGATTCGGATACTGTTCTTCTAGCCTTCGTAATAAACTATTAGATATCCGATCACCAAAGAAACCTGAGTTACCATCTCGGAAACCTTGCATATAACCGGAAGAATAGCCAGCTCCTTGACCACGTTGTGCCAAATTACGCATTGATGCACTCATTCCCGTCATTCCGGCATCTCTATAATAAATACAAATAAAAATTCTAAAACACTCTCTCTCTCATAGTTTTGAAAAAATTGATTAAAAAACTTAGTTTTGAAAAAATTGATTGAAATTTCAACTAAATGTTGCATTTAGTTGAAATCATAACTAATATTAAATTTCAATTTTTCAATTAATTTCATAATCATTTTTAAAATATTTATTATATCAAAATTATTTTATCAATCACATAAAAAATAGAAACAAAAATACAAAAAAAAAGTTTTATTTAATCATTTAAAGTTTAAAATAATTCTCAAAAATGCTTCATAACTTTCATACTTTTATAAAATTCAAATAATTTAATAAAATTACTTATACCTTAATCCTTTCACATAACCCTCATGAAATCGATCATCTCTACTACCATAATCATCATCCATTCGTCGACGTGCTGCTGATGCAGTACCTAATTTATTTGCATCTCGAAAACCCCGTACATAACCATCTTCGAAATCTCCACGAGCTTAAAAATTCAGTATCATATTGGCAAAAAAAAAAAAAAAAAAAAGAATTGGTAGTTCTTTTTTTTTTTGTAAAATATTAATACCTGTTGCTTTTTGATCAAGTGATGATCGGATATCATCAACACGTGATGAAAGTGCTTGCATATTTTGCTCAATTCCATTTTTCTCGATCTAGAAAAATATTGCATTTTTTTCTCATAAAATTATTTTGAATATTCTTTCAATAATTTATTCGAAATTAAACAAATTTGTTAAAAAATTATAATTTACTCTAAAATTTAAACAAATTTTAAATTACATGAAAATTTACTTAAAAAAAAATAAGCAATAATACAGTAGAAATTCTAACAAATATAAGTATCATAGAAATATTTGGACAGTTAACAAAAAAAAAAAGATTTCACAAAAAGATGTTTTAAAAGTAGGAATAAATTTAAAACAAAAAAGAAAAAAAATTTTTTTTTTAATTTCAAAATTATCAATGTATATTCTAAGTTGAAATATCAATAAAATATTTCATTTCTCATTTTTTTTTTTTTTACTGGTATAAACTTTATTCTTATTAACAATACAAATTCAATTTTGAAATCAATTTTGAATCTAATTTAATAGCAATTCTTCTCAATTACGCAAAAAATACTTAACATTAATGTAGGTTGCGGAAGACTTACGTCTGCGGAAAGTAATGGAACTGTTTGACCATTTGACGCAATCACACGTCGCCGCTCTTTACGTGTTCGATAACGTCTAAAATTCAATTTTTTTCGTTTTCTTTTTTTTTCTTTATCTCTCATTTCAGTTTATTTTCAAATAATAATAAAAATTTTAATATTTGAGGAAAAGAGGAAATGATAGAAAGCATGCAATATCAGTAGTAAGTTATAAATAACACAATACAACAAGAATAATTTATTTTATAAACTATTTACTAGTAATAGATTAAAACATGCATAGTAATAATTCAAATAAAATTATCAAATTAAATTAGTATAAAGAAGTAAGCAATGATTGTGCCTATGAAGTCAATTATAATTTTCAACAATTTTAAAAATATTTGTATCACAAATTTTTTTCCTATCTTTTTTATTTGTCACATTTTCAGAAGACAATTTTTTTTTTCTTTTGCCAACAATTAGTGCAATTTAGCAAATGAATATGTCTTTTTTTTTCTTTTTAATAAAATAAATCAATCATTTCATGACATTAATAAATTAAATGAGATTGAAAAAATTTAATTTTTTGTTTTTTAAACAAAAAAATATAATAAATATTCTTTATTGCTTCAATAATTATCGCACTTCATATAATAATAATAGTAATTTGATAGAAAAAAAGAAAAAACTTTTTTTTCTGCTATAAATGAATAATTGAGTGGCACAATGTCATTTCTTTTGATATTGAATTGATATAATTCACTTTTTTTTTTCCAATTTATTTTCTTTTTATTCTACAAAATGTTATGAAAAGAAAGAATGCAATAATTTTGAGGTCAAATTGTATTTCTTGTTTGTTAATTTTGATTTTGAAAATTTTAAGATTATACGATAGCAATAAATGATAGATAATTATAAACAAATTAGTTAAAATAAATTATGCTTCTAAGATAATTACCCCATTTTTATTTTCTCTCATTCAAATGCAAGATGAGTAACTGAAAGATGAAAATTTCATTGATAATGGATAATTTAGAAGAGAAATACAAATTCAATAAGTATTATTTTAACTATTAAAATAGAATTCTTAAGAATATGCTAAATTTGATCAAATGATTTTTGTTACTATTTGATCAAACTATTTTAAAACAATTGTTAAATATATTTAAAAAAAAAAATACTGCTTTATAAGTTAAAATTAAGGAAAATTACACTGTTGAATATGATATCAATCACCGGAAATATAATAAATTTTAGAAAAGAAAAATGAAAACTTTCTTTTTTCTTCATAAAGATGAAAAAATTACCCTTGCAAACACCAAAGTAGGCAACATGTGAGAAGAATGAGCAGGAGTAACAGAAGAAGTAAAAGTAATAGCCACCACCATGGCCAACCGGAAATCGCGTACGGACTAGCTAAAATTTCATCCTTTTAATTTAAAAAAAAACAATTTTTTTCTTAAATTCATTTTGGAAAAAATTACAAAATTGAAAAATTTTTAGGATAATATTGATGGAAATTTGTTGGAAATTATTTTCCGAGCAGCATAAATTGAATTTTCGTGTTATAATCCAAAAGAATGTTTAACTATTTATTTCATTAGAAATTAATATTTTAAATTAATTATTAGGAAATAAATAAAAGTGAAGCAAAATATGTGAGTAAAAATGGAATATTGTAATACATTCTAAAATTTTTAGCAAAAAGTATTATATATAAAGAAAAAAGAAAAATATCATTTCATTATAATGACACAGCAATATTACAACTATAATAACACAAAAGAAAGGTCACTTCAGATCAATTATAATAGATTTGAAGATTTTGAAAATAAAATGAAAAGCAAAAAAGAAAAAAAAAATTTGAATAGATTCAGAGAAAGTATTTCAAAAGTTATAAGTTTACTACAGATAGTTTACCAATCAAAAGCTTAGAAGTAGTACAAAGTACTTTCTTTACCATTTACACTTTAATTTTTAGTTAATTAAATAAGAGAAAAACTGATAAGAAATAAATTTCAAATGTTTTCAAGTGCTTCAAAACATAAAAAAATAAAAATAAAAATAAAAACAGTTGAAATGAATGAGAAAAACCTATAATCTTATATCAATCCTAGGAATAGAATGTGTTAATATTTGATTCAGTAATTACTTATCGGAAAGCTTTAACAATGCTAACTTCTATTTAACACATTTATGAAAATAGAAAATTCATATCACTTCATTCATGCTTAACCTTTTTTTTTTTTTCAAAGATTTGCTTAGTTAATTGAAATAAAAATCTCTCTCTTTCGAGAAAATAAGGTTATCTCTTTCTCTGCTTATTTCATTCTTCTTTTTTTTTTTTAAAAAAAAAGAAAACAAAAATAGCTTTAAGAGTAAACAGTTTCGCTAGCGAAAAGCATTTGAGGATGAATCATAAATGAAAAATGACTCATATAATTTGTTAGTGCTGAGGAACGATCAATTTGAAATAAATTTTATTGATTAACTAATATAACCATTTTATGTTGTAATTAAATACCACTAATTAAACTTATACTTCAAAAAAAAAAAGGCGTACCATCAGGCCATACACTCATCGCTGTTGGAATGCAGTTTGCGAAGTAGATAGTAGGGTAATAGAAAAACAAGTTCAATTCAAAATTGATATCTCCACTTCACTTCAACGAGCAAACCAATTGGTTCAGATGGATAATACACACTACTATATTGTTGCTGGTTGTCACCAAACTCTCAATGATCAACAATTGTCACCCATAGCTGCTTCTCATCATTATCACCAATCAAAGATGATTAGTGATAATGATGAGAAGAAGATGGTAAAAGATTTATACGTCATTGTTTTAATATATTATTTAAAAAGAAAAAAAAAATGATATATAACAATAGTAATAATACAATATACGAAACAGTAATGAAATCATTTCAATTTGTTTTCTTTTTTTTTTTAAATTTTAATAGCGTTTACTATTTGTCTGCCTTGTCTAAGGCAATTTTGTCATTGTAATAAGCAAACAATTATTAGTAATTGTTAAAGTGAACTTTTTTCACTTTTTTCTTTCCTTTTTCCTACAATTTTATTCTTTCCTTCCCTACAATATATTTTTATTTTTTTATTTTTTTCATTTCTAAAAATCATTTAATACCAAGAAAAAATCTATTAAATATATCATTTCTCATTGGCATTTAAAAAAAAAAAAAATTAACAATCATTTATAAAGAGACAGGGAGAGGGAGAGAGAGGAAAAAAATTACCTATTTTTTAATTCTTGAATATATAATTGATATCTAATGACATTAATTTTTTTTTATGAATAACAAAATTCTGATTAATTTTTGAAAATTGATACAGTTTCATTAGCAGTAATTCAATGATTAATATCATCATACACTGATAACAAGTTTTCTAATGAAGAAGAAATTAAAGTAACGGAATGCGGATGTGATACATTAGAGATGTCGTAAAGGATTCAAAAAGATGAGTGAATATATTGAAAGCACAAATATTGAATATAAAATTAACTTCTATAATATAATTAATCTTCTTCGATTTATTATCACATATTAGGTTTAAGATTAAATAACAATAAATTATATAATTTTCAAATAAAAAATATAATTCAAGTTTCTCTTTCTCCATTTTTTTCTTATTTTTCTAAATACCAAAATGCTATTTATTGTTGTGAGAGGAGAAAGAATTGATCGATTACTTTCTAAGATAATCGAAATGGGAATGGGAAAAATTATTTGAGAGAAACAGAACTGATTTGCTATCAAAAAGAAAAGAAACGAAAAATCATTTTAAAAATCGTTGGTAAATTAAATATCATTAATGCTTCTTTTTTAAAAGAGATATTTGTCGTTTAACGATATTTTTTTATGAATTTCTCTTTGCTCTCAACTTCTATCATTTTGCATTTTATTATTTTAGGAAACAATCGACCAATTCGTTCTTCTTGCAATAATATGTAATATTAGTTACTTCTATAAACTTTTATTCTATGGTTCACTGATTAAAATTATACTTCCGCAAGTTATAACATTTGCGCATATGAGTTAATTCTAGGCAGTAATTTCAACTTTAACTTATCAACAATCTTATCTTATCTATTAGTCATTTCATTGTGTTTTTTTCATCACTCTGTAATTATTTGGATATTAATTTGAACATATGCAAAAAAAAAAGTACTCTATTTTTCATCGAGAATTCTTCTATTAAATAAAAAGAATTAAAAAAAAAAAAAAATTAGACCATCGGATCTACTCTCTACTCTCATAATGTAAAGGTCGGAAGGATAAGTCGAGTTAATTGATATTGCCAGATAATAAGCCCATTTCAATATTCAGCCAGATTATGCAACAAATAATGATGAGAGAGTACCAGGCTGTACTAGTCTTTTTTTTTTTGAAATTTTTTAAATAAAATATTTTATTTCTGATTTGATTGTTGAACTAAATATTACCAAACTCCCACAAATTATTATTATTCAAAGCCACCAATTTGAATTTTCCTTTTTTCATCGTTTTTTTTTTTCTGCGCCAGTAACACTAATAATAATAATAAAAACGCCGCAAAGAAAAACATTTCATCTCTTATAATCAAAACTTATTTATTTTCAATAAGAAATCGTTGATTTATTGCACATTTATTCTTACTTATAAACAAATCAAATGAGATGGAATCTTATCGTAATAATTCTTTTATCAAATCAGTTATAATCTTATCCCAATAATTCCTAATTTATCATATCAGATAGAATCATATTCCAGTGTGATACCTACAATACGAACGTTTTGAAAAGCATTTAAGCATTTTACACATTACAATCGATCAGTACTATCAACCAGCTGAAAAAACAATTAAAACGAAATGTCAACCAAAGTCCCCAAAGATTTAAACATTATGTTTGGATACCAGCACAACCAAATACTTTCTAATCTTCACAAAAAAAAAGTCATTCCAATAATTCGCTTTTTTTTAACACTATCATTTTTAAAACTAAATATAATTCTTTAACTTCAAGATTGTTCATTATAGAATTATAGCTTTTTTTTACAAAATGGAATATTTTAGAAGCTTATAAAAAAGAAAAGAAAAAAAAAAGTCCAGAATAAGACATCGTCTTAAAAATAGTTTTGAGAATTAATTAATATTTTGACAAAAATTTAAGAAAATTTCAAAAACAAAAAAGAAATTTCTTATCTCTTATCAATAATATCTGTTAAACTTTCGGGAATATACTTCAACTATCCCATTCTATCATCTTGTGCTCCTCTTTTTCTCTCTCTCTCTCTCTCTCTCACTCCTTATGATCTCTTTTCATCCATGCTTCTCCCTAGAATTTAGCTAGTAAAATTTTAATCTTTCGAGAATAAGCTGTTTTTTTTACATATATATGAATACATAAGTCGTAGGAAAGTCTTTCATTGACTACTTCAACGTTAATTTCTGCAATTTATATTTTAATATTTTCTTTAGAAAGAATGAATGAAAATAGAAATATGAAACGGTAAGATGGTAGATTCCTCTTTCGGGTAGATTTCTCCTTCAGTAGATTCCTCTTTGGTAAATTCCTCCCTGCTAAATTTCTCTTTCGGCAGATTTTTTCGGTAGATTCCTCCTTCAGTAGATCCTTCTTTGGCAGATTCCTCTTTGGTAAATTCCTCCTTGGTAGATTCTTCCTCCGGTTGACCCCCTTCGGTAGATTCCTTCATGGTGAATACCTTCTCGGTAGATTCTTCCTTCGGTAGATTCCTCTCCCTACATTCATCCCATCTATTTTTTCATCAGTTCATTCAACTCTTTTAGCAAATTCACAAAACAGTATATATTATTATTAGTTATATTACCTTATTGTTAGTTACATTACATTATTAGTATTAATACAGTATGCATTATTGTTAGTAGTGTTATTACAGTATGTTATTATCGTTAGCACAATATGCATCGTTGTTAATAGTGTTATTACAGTATGTTATTATCGTTATTACAGTATACATCATTGTTAGTAGTGTTATTACAGTATGTTATTATCGTTAGCACAATATGCATCGTTGTTAATAGTGTTATTACAGTATGTTATTATCGTTATTACAGTATACATCATTGTTAGTAGTGTTATTGCAGTATATTATTATCGTTATTACAGTATACATCATTGTTAGTAATGTTATTGTAGTATATTATTATCGTTATTACAGTATACATCATTGTTAGTTGCATTACGTTATTACAGCACACGTAACCATTACACAGTATACGTCATAACACAGTATACATTATTAGTCCCGAGAATATATAGAAGAGTTCGTCGATGAATGTTCGTATATAATAAATTGTGAAGAATCCTGGACGGTTTCAGATATCCGGTAGAGCGATCAGTAGAGTGAAAAATTTGAAACTTATAAAGAGACGACAGTTTAGTGACAAACGTTTATATAATACGTCCATTACTCACTTAGAAACAAACCTGTTAAAAGTGCCATAAAAAAATGACATGCTTGATATACGCAAGGAATGCCATAGAAATGACATAATTAATATAAATATTGAAAGTAAGCTAACCTCGTTGACGTGCTACAGCAGCTGGTTTACCATTGAGCTCCCAGACTGAGTAAATTTCATAATTATATTTTTTACCCTTAATCAGTGGATAATTAAGGTAGCCACCAATTACGGAACCATCACCAATACGAACTTTTCGTGGTCCAGGTAATGTATCAGCATTGAAAGATGCTGCTACATAGTAAGGTATCTTCATTTTATTTGCCGTAATCTTATCAGTTAGTTCAGTCCAATTAGTGCTACCTGCTGGTTCACGTTCATCAACCACAACATAGTAACGCCTAAACGAAGCATTGTTGTTATATTTATTATATAGGAGTATAACTAATAAAAGAGACCAAAGAAGTCATTTATATCTTATCAAAGATGATTTCTGACAAACGAAAAGATTAATATTTAAAAAAAAAAATTTCAAACTGATGTTGCTACAATCGCTAAAACGTATAACTATGAAATGTTAATGTTTTAAATTTGCCGACAAGATGAATATAAGACTGACGAAACATTTTGTGGTTGTGATTGAACCGGTGAAATATCCACTTCCCAAAATGTTCCAGCTAAACCAATATTTTCAACCATATATGGTGGTGGTACGATGCAACATCCTTTTTTCTGTCCCGATTTCTCAAGAAAGCTTGGTTTCCCAGCTGTTCTCCATCGATTCCATTGGTTGTTCACCTGAAATATTCAACTTTTAAATTTCATGCTACTCTTTAACTTCACCAACTTACTGATTGTTATTAAGGTTATCAGCAGTTGTGAAAGTAACAATAAATATTGTGGTAGTAATGATCAGAAATGACCAATCAATGATATAGTGTCACATGATAATGAGATTAGTAGATATTTTGAAAACATTACTTATAAAAGTTAAGCATTTCAATAACGATGAAATAGCACTGCTGATTCTCTAGACATAATATAAGTGATAAGAGGAAAGTGGATGATAAGATTGACTTACCTTAGCTCGTACTTGGAAAACATATTCATTTGGATTGTGAATAAGATTGAACACCAGATAACAATGTCGATTACAACCATCTTTGGGACAAAGTAGATCTACAGCTTTGGCTTCATTTTCTTCTGTCCAGATAACGTCATGTTCCTTAAGTCTCAGATATCGCACTTGGTAGTGTGTTGCTTTATTCAGGTTTACTGGTTCCCAGGTCAATGATAGAGCGTAATTGGTTCGATCGCACCATACCAAATTACGTACCATGAACCATCCTGGTGGTAAAGTAGCATACGCACCTGATGCTATTTTACCACTTGGTCGTGCTTTCAAAGTAACATTGTAAACTGTTGAAGGTTCTAGATTTTCGATTGTATATTGAGTGGTACCAGCAGGTATTTCAGCTGAACGGATTGCATTGATGTGAACATGTTTGAAAGCAGAATGTAAACTTTTCCATGAAAGCTGAAAATTTCAAGATGTATTTATATCGACTAAAATACTGAAATTAATCGAAATTAAGGACTGATTTAAGGTTAATCAAATTATTACATCAAAGATTGGTACTGTAAAGAGAAAAGAAAAAGAAAAACATACGATATATCCTCTGTCACCGAGGAATGATGATTCCCATTCAACGGTCAATGATGTCGGCGTACGATCCAGTAATCGTAATACATGATTTTCTCCTGGTGCAAGGGTACTATAGGTACCCCATAATATTTCACCATAACCGCTATTAGTACCAGCCTGTACCGTAATATTGTAAATTGTTTTCGGTGATAAATTATCAAACTTGATCGATGTACCAGGATATGGTACCGAGTAGTTACGTGGTCGGCCAGTTCTACCAGTGTATGAATCAAATGGTGCTATTGTTACCTAAAAATTTCATTAAATTCAATTGTTCCAATTTAAATACATGCAAAGCATAAAGGAATATATTTCTAAAATAAATAAAAAATAACCTAAACAGTAGATTTAACCGGAAAAATTATGCAAAGTGAATAAATTTAAAAGCAAATTTATATTTAGGAATATACCAAGTAATGAGTAATCAAATCTTTATAAGCTGGATCAAAAATTTCTGGTGGACTCCATGCTACATGCAAAAACCGATCTGATTTTTCTAGCAATTTCAAATCTGTTGGCGGTGGTAACCAGGAAAGTAAACCAGTTCCTAAAAATAAAATACTAAATAGTTAAGATTATTGTACCAAAATTATTTAAGGCTTCTAGTTTCATTTTTTTTTCACAACAAATTTAAAATTATTTTAGGAAGAAATGAAATGAGATTGAAAACTATTAGCAGTAAATACCATAATCGGTAGTTGAAAAAACTTCCGTTATGAACCACATTCGTTTGCTTTCTGATAAGCCTTGTATTGTAATATTATAATGTGTTGCTGGTTCTAAACCACGAAAATGATAATCATTTTGTTCACCACGTACAGTAAACTGTTTTGGATGTTTATCGAAAGAACTTGCTAATGATATGCTAACCTGAAATTGATAAAATTAAACTCATATTTAGCATTCAAAAATTAGAAACTGAATCAAACTTTAAAAATATTTGAGTATTCTTGGAATTTACATAAAATAAAATGTACCAAATATTGATCCACAACATTTTTAACAGCTGGCGGTGCTGTCCAGTTCACACGAAGGTTATCGTGTCCTGCAGATACCAATCGTAATTTTCCAGGTATTGGACCATCTTCAGTGGAACGTGTGGTTGCAAAATATGCTGGTGACCATTCACCCCAACTACCAGTGGGTGATTGAGCCTAAAAGTTTACAGTATTCAAACTGAAGATAGAAATGTAAAAATATAACACTTAAAGATTAAAAATTAATGTAATGTGAAATGATGTAAGTAAAAAACTTTTGAATTTATTTTAAATCTTATTATGGAGTTTTGCTACGAAATCAAAATTTCAGTTGAAGATTTTCTCATAAATAAATGAAAATACACAATTTATTCCTAATAAACCTCGAATTTTATGTTATCACAAACCTGAACAGCAAACCGGTAGGTAGTGTCCGGTTGGAGTGACTTTATTGTTGCACATATATTATCATTAGTAATAAGAGGACTTTTGTATCCAGTACAGCTCAACTGATCACCGGAAAGTTCCATCTCCACTGGATTAGAATCATCGGCACGCGGGCTGTACCTAATTTTATAAACAACTACTGGTGCTCGTTCTGGATACGGTGGAAGCCAAGTTAGTTGAATAATTTTAGGTTTTGTATGCACTGCAGTAAGCTCTCGAGGTGGTCCCAGTTCGGTACCTGTAGTGGTAATCTGAATTGGTTCTGACCATGGCCCTGGTCCTTCACTGGTATATGCTCGCACACGTATATTATACGTGGAGCCAGGGCTCATCTGATCCACTGCAGCATTGGTACGTGGTGTTACACCTTCACGTTTCATATCATTCCATTCCTCAGCACCTGTTACCTCATATTCATATTGTGTTATTTTGCCATTTTGTTCCTCACACACCGGTGGTTCCCATTTGAAGAAAATTTCAGTATCACGACGACCTTCACCACGCAAATTACGTGGCGGACCAGATGGAAAGGTAGCCTTAGTCCTGAAACGACGTATTGTTTTTGGCGTTGCGATAGATGGTCGTAACGTTGGTGGACGTCGAGGAGTAACAACCACTTCATACTCTGAACCAGGTGTCAGATCATGAAGCAAAATTTGTTTATCCTGTACATTGTAGTTTGTCACTGGTTCATGACTACCACTCCGTGATTCGATGCAACCACCTAATTGTTTCAGGCGATAAGTAATATCTACGCCGTAGTTCCATTTCCGGTCCTGGTCAGCTAGATCCCAAATAACCATTGCTGAAGTAGGTGTCTTTGGTTCAACTGTAAGGAATAGTTCTCCGGGAAGAGCTTGAGTGACCAAGGTTGCACGATCGCTCCATGGACTGTACGATGGTTTCTGACCTTCCTCAATCGTCTGTGTACGCATTCGAATCTCCCATTTGGTACCAGGAAGTGATGGCAACAAGAGTTTAGGTGGTGCATCCGCTGGCACTGTCATTATACCACGTGACGTGGTGTTGACGAAATCAATTACGTATTCAACATTGTCACATGCCCAAGAGTCTTTGTCCGGACTCGTCCAGGTGAGTTTAACATTTTCGAAATCAGATGTTAATTGTAGATCAGTTGGCGGTTCTTCGGGTCCTTAAAAATGAAATTTTGAAATATCCATGTAGTGAAAAGCTGTTTCCATAAAATCGAAGTGAAACGAGAAATAAAAAAAAAGATGATAAATAATCTAAAACAAAAAAGTAGCACTAACGTCCGCATTTTGTCATCGCTCTTAATTCGGGTCCTGAAGAACCACGTTTGTCATTTTTACCAACAACTTTCAACCGGAAGAAATACTCCGTTGAAGGTTCCAAATCTTTAACCTGAATACGATAATCATTCTGGCGACTACGATGTTTTGTGATACCATCATATTCCTTCCAATCATCATCTTCCGATTTATATTCCAGAATGTAGCCAACAACATGTTTTGACTAAAATATATACTTTAATTTCTGATTAAGTGAATAAATTCTTAAAAAATGTTCTTAAAAAATGTCATTTATTTCAATAGCAATAAATTTTGATAAGTACAACATTTTTAGGAATTTATAGCTAGACCAATTAAGCGTAATCAAGTAAACAATTACTTAAATTACCTGATCGGCATCCAATCCTTGCCATCGTAATGTTATACTATTTGGTTTGCTGTCCACTACTTCTAGCTCACGTTCTAATACCGGTATATCTAAACAATTTTATTTTATTTTCATTTTTATATTCATTTCATTTATACAAAAACTTATTCAATTTAAACTCTATTAACTTACTTTGTTCATGTGTTTGAGCACCTAACGGTTCACTCCAATCACTCCAAGCACCACCTTCAGTATGGGCTGATGCCTGAATTTCATACTCCTGTTCCGGTTCCAAATCTATCACTCGATAACATAACCGATCACGTTTCGATATATCCGAGCATTGCAATCGATTTGCAAGCACACGAACTTCTTTGTAATTCATCTTTAGAAAAAAAAAAAGTTCTTAAATTTCAAACAATTTTAATCTTATATTTATTCAATTTCTTTTTATCTCACTACTAAATAATTATTTTTAATTAGCGGAAGTAATATAGAAATTAACTTCTTCATCTAGCAAATTTTGTATACAATATTATATTTATACTTACTTGGAACAGAATTTAGTTCAATCTATAATCCACAATGACATGTAACGACAGAAAGATTTACACAATTTGAAATTGAAATTAAGTGTGACTGAAAAAAGATACAAAAGTAAACATTATCGAAATACTCACTTGGCCAGATGGTGTATGTCTTATTCGATATTCATTAATAACACCATGAGGCGGTGATGGTGGCAGGAATGAAATCTCGATGGCATGTGGGAATGATTGCTCCTCGGTTAAATCTGTTGGTGCCGGTGGTGCTAAAATAAACAATCATATATATATAATTTGCTTATATTAACCTCTTATTTTTAGCTATCTTTATTTATTTATAGTTAATTTCTTAACATCAAATTACAATTTCTATTCTTTGAATTTCGATTTTTCTTTTTAAAAGAAAAGTTTAGCGTTGCTGTCCTTTTGAAACAACCTAACCTAAATGAAGTACCAACCTACCGGCAGGTTGCGTCCTAAATGAAACCCATTCTGACCACGGTCCCTGTCCAGCTGAATTCTCCGCTAAAACTCGCAAACGATATTGAGTATATGGTATCAAATCATCGAAGGATATTCGTTGTGTGGTACTTTGACCAGTTTTACTTTCACTCCATGGATCCAGGCTTTCTAGTTGCCATTCATAACCTGTTATTTTGCCGTTACGGAGCTCGCAATCCGGTTCGTTCCACAGGAAATCGCTTCGTGTTTGCGTTATCGAACTTACACGTGGATTTAACGGAGCTCCGGTAGGAGCTGCAAATTAAATTTACTAAAATTTTAATGAAAAATACTATATCAGGAAAGCAATATGTTTATCATCGAATCTAAAATTAATTCAACTGTTGCAACGAATAAAAATAGGTGCAAATAAAGAAATAAAGTAAGCATTTTCTTCAATTTGCTAATCTAATTAATAATGAAAAGAAAATTTAATCCAAATTGTGATTTTCAATTTGTCAATCATTCTCGGAATGTTTCAAGGAATTTCAGAACATAGAGTGTCGCATGTGAAATGTCATTAATTCTCTTAGAACAACCTTTTAAATCTTAAATTTGTTAAATATAGTTTAAATCTAACTTGAAAGTACTTTTTTTTCCTGTTCTGTTATCGAAAAAAAAAAAACTTATATTATGTATGTTCTAAAGATAATTCCTTTTGAAGAACTTAAAGTCCCTCAATTTCAAACTCAACAAATTCATTAATTTGTTGACATTGCAGAAAGGAACGTATATTTTGCTCACAATCAATTAAAATTTTAATTAAACTTTAAAATCTGAAAAATGAAACATACGAGCTTCATCAGTTGTAACAGTGATAATATTTGATTGAGGTCCAGGCTCAGAGGTATGTGCTGTTACGTGTATTTCATAAGTGGAATCAGGTAATAATCCTTCCAATGTAATTTCTTCTTCCTTAGTATTTCGAGTAATTGGTTGTGAAGAACGTGGACCACATTCACCGCGGGATTTAAGCTTATATACTAAGGTATAACCGGTAATTTGTCCATTAGGTTGTGCAGGTGGTCGCCACATTATTGATGCAGCTTCCGGTCCATATGGACGAGCATCAAGATCTTCTACTGTACTTGGTGCACCTGCAATTAGCTAACATTTATAGCATATTTCAAAAAAAAAAAAAACTATTAAGATTTCAAATAAATGAGGGATGAAGAGTGCTGGTAGGTTTGACAATAATTTATCAAACAATCATTTGCTACATTAGAACAATTGAAATAAAGTCAAATTAAAAATTAATTTCTTCATTAAACTTATCAAACTTTCATTTGTTATTACTTATTAATGATATGTGAATATCAATCATAATCGATCACAAATGATTTTGATCATATTCGATTGTAATGATAATATGATCCTAATCATTTCCATAAATGATTACAATTGATTTAAGCTTTGTTATTAACGATTAACGAAATAGCTATTAATTTATTAAAAATTATGATTATTTAATCTGATATTTCATATTATAACTTATTTCAGATTATCATTAAAGGTTATATATGTTTGTGTTACTAATGATGGTTATTTTATTTTATGGTACCTTCAGCGGTTGTAATGGTCACTTCCTTGCTCCAATCTGAAGCACCAGCTTCATTTTCAACCCGAACCCGCAATCGCCACAATGTGTTTGGTGAAGCGTCCAGCACTCGATCAGTTATACCGCTGAAATTAGTAAATAATCAAATTGCTTAGTGCTAACTTGGTAAAATGGTTGTATTCTTATTAACTCCAAGCAATTTCAATTTTTTATTGATAACAGTGATAATAAAAGCTTTTATATTTCACCGCTCAATTCAGGAATTAAATCAACAATTATTATTTTTTTTTTTTTTCTGTTCATGAAATGTAAACCTTAAAATAAATGATAAATTTCAAGAGTTTAAAATTATTGATTATAACTGTTTAACCTGGGTACATCAATTTCCTCGGGGGATGATGAACCATTGGTGTATTCCAGTCTATATTTGATATTTGAGCATTGCCATGAGGATTGACTAGGTGGTTGCCAGCTGATACGCACCTGATAAGGCGATGGTGCAGAAGCATTTACATTTGATGGTGGTGCAAGAGGTACTGAAGAAATGTTAAATTAATTATTTACTTTCAAAACAAAATAAAAACCCATTTAATTGAAATTATATAATGACAACATTTTTGAAATTAGTTGGATTTTAAACTAGAGAACTAGCATAATAAGATAAAATAACAATGAATTGCTGAAATTTTGGAATATTTAAAATTTTAAAATTTATTTTAATCGATGGAACGTACTTACATGCACAACCGGTTCGTGCACTTCCTTCCGGACTTGCTTCACTAACGCGTTGCTTCTGATCAACAACTTTGATACGAACGAAATATAATGTATCAGCATCCAGTAAGGATAAACGCTGTTGGTAATTACGCCGGTTTGCGTCATGTTCAATGATACCATCGTATTCCGTAAATGTTGGATTATCACTGGAACGAAATTCTATGATATATCCATGGACTTGATTCTTCGTATCCAAAATACCACTCCATTGAACATTCAATGCATCAGCTCCATCTGCTGTAACTTGTGGTGCATTTGCTATTGGTGGTACCTTGAATGGATCCGTGGAATAACGTGTCCAAGAAAGTGGACCAAACCCACGTTTGGTACCGGCGGAAATACTGATATTATAGGAAGTTTCAGGTTGAAGATTATTCAAAAGATGTTGCAATGTTGGATGATCTATAAGAAATGTTTTTAATTGATCGTGCGGATCATCTAACGAAACAATTCCAACTTTATACTGTGTTATTTGTCCCAAAGGATCGGGCGGTGGTATCCAACGAATGTGAAGTAAATGATCAGTTTTCTTGATTAACTCTATAGCACGTGGAGCATCAGGTAAAGTTTGTAACGTGTTCGCAATAGTCACCGTACTCCACGGACCATACGAACCACCAACAATATGAGCTGCAACTTGAACTCGAAATTGACGTCCACTTTCCAAATTTGTAACATTGAAACAATGTCGAGGACTTTCAGCTGGACATTTCAATAATCGATCTTTGGTATCTTTTTCAATTTCCATCCAACGAGTTTCATTCAGTACTTGATATCGAATTTTATATTTATCATGTGGTCCATATGGTGGATAAGGTGGTAGCCAGGAAATCATGAAGTAATCAGTACCTTCTTGAGCTACTACTAAATCCTGTGGTGGTAATGGTGCGTCCGCTTTTGCCGTCATTGCATCCAAATTCTCGGTATTTGGACCACCACCAATACTATTGTAAGCTTTCACACGCATAATATACTTGGTGAATGGTGTCAAACCTTCAATATTTATTTTAGTATTGGTTGTATTCGCAATTTGACGTTCTAATTTTGCCCAATCATCTTGTCCCAATATCTCATATTCATAGTTGACAATATGTCCATGACGTTGTGAACATTCTATTTCCTCCCATTGAAAACTGATAGAACGTTCCAGAGCATAACTTAGTTGTAAATTTAATGGTGGTGCACTTGGTGGTTGTTGTTCTGTTGCAATATCTTTTGATTCTTCTGGCCCTAATTCCGTGGTACGTGCACGTACTCGTACTTCGTATAAAGAAAAAGGTAGCAATCCAGTCAATGTATATTCCAAATCTTTATGATTATAGACAGTCACAAAATCACGACTGACGTCACGTGGCTCCTCATCCGGACAAGCTAATCGATGTTTCAACCGATAACTAATATCGTAGCCAACAATAGAACCACGTTGTACCAATGGTGCAAGCCATTGCACATGTACTTCATTAGGACTTTTAGCACGCAAACGTAAATCTCGAACCGGACCTGGGATTCCTTGCCGAGTAGTTATTACTTGTTCTGAACTCCATGGACTTGATCCTACCTGATTGGTGCACCTTAATTTAACAGCCCAGCGAGTATTGGCTTCTGAAGGAAAAGTATAGTCGGTTCTGTCTCCTGGCACTGGTACAACACGTTCTGCTTGTCCACCTACCCGATAAGCAAGATCATAGTTTAGTTGATCACATTGCCATGTATCTTTGGCCGGTTGAGCCCATGAAACCCGAACTTCATTGGTGGATGGTGCATCCAGACGAATAGCCTGTGGTGGTGCAGGTGGTGCTGAACATCGAGTACGAGCTCGAACTTCTGGACTTGGAGCAGATTGTTCATTTTGAGGTGATACGACACGTACGCGAAGATCCACTACGCTGTTTGTTGGAAGCTAAAACAGAAAAATGAAAAACTGCAAAAAGCAACAGAATTTTCCAGCGTTTTTATATGAAAATTTATTTTGACTTAGTTTATAATTTTATCAGTAATATTTTTAAATTTTAATTTTAAAAAAAGCTAAAAATGATTAATATTTTATAGCAGCTCTTTTTAATGTTGGCCAATATTATATCTATATGCATTGTTGATAAACATTGGAAATTAATGAAAATGTGCAAAAATTATGATACCTGATCAACCTGAGCGGTGTAGACACGACGTCCAGGATATGCCGGAATTCGTCGACTGTATTGCTGCCATACACCATCACCAAGACAATATTCGATCACGAATCCGCTTATATTACCACCTGGTGCATTCCATTCCAAAGTTACTGAGGTTGCTTGTTCTTCAATTACTCGTGGAGTAACCATTAAACTGTCCACTGGTACTGAATCGGTACGTACCTCAATCGCTGTACCAGGATGATAATGAATACCATCGGTAGTTGCGTCTACAGTTATATTATAACGTGTGTTAGGTGATAAATTATCGATATTGTACTGCAGTGTTGATCGATCTACCGTAAATGATATCGGTTTAGCACCATGCTGTAGCACCGGTGTCACATGAATTCGATAGCCAACAACACGAGCTGCATCAGTGGGACGAACATTCCATGCAATTAAGACACTATTCGTTCCTCCACCTAATTTATTCAGTGAAATAACCTGAACAGGTCCTTCACTAATATGACCAACTTGAGGCTCACTCCACGGTGACCAGGTACCACTGCGATCACCAGCTGATACCTTCAACATAATCAATTTGTTATGACTATGTAGCTTTGTGTTTAGTACAATGATCGAAATACCATCCATTACCAGCAATTTTTTTTAAAAAGATTTAAATATTTGAAAATTCAAACCATAAAAGTATATTGCTTTTCGGGCTGTAGACCATCAATTCTACCACAGTGTAATTTTGCTCCGCTTGGTGTTGGTGACAATGGTGACAATTGCTGCATACGAATCACTTCTTCACCACATGGATTATATGAGGGAAATTGTCGTTCTTGATATTGCTTGGTACCTGCTACTGCATATTTACATTTATATTTGTCGATTAAACCGGATGATGGATAGGGTTCTTGCCAAATCAAATCTGCATTATCCGCTCCAGTATTTAAAATTCGAACCATCGGTGGTGCTGGAATCTGTAAAAGAAAAAATTTCATCAGTAAAATATATCCTTGATTTATCAGTTCATAAATTTAGCATCGTTTACTACATGAAACATACTTCAGGTGCAGCAGCAGTCTGAAACTGAACCGGTTCCGACCATGGTCCTGGTCCTTTTCGTGTAAATGCTCGTATCCGTACCAAATATTTTGTGTATGGGGAAAGACCAGTGATTTTGGTTCTGGTACCTCTGACAACCTGTCTAACTGTACTATCAGCTCCATAATCAAGCCGTTCCAAAGGTGTTGCTTCAAATTCATATTCTGTTATTTCACCATTTGTTTGCAAACATGCAGGTGCTTGCCAAATCACAGCTACTTCAGTAGGTAGTACATTTATTATACGAATATACACTGGGGCACCACTAGGTGTAGCTTCGTGAGTTTGCACTTCCTGACTTACAGGTTTCCCTAAAATATTTATGATCATAGCAAATGTCATTAGAAGAACTGCGGCAAATACTTAGATATTATACGATATCATATCACATATCATAAAACATTGTATCAATTGCTCAGATAAATTTCAACAAATTGATAGTTACCCATTTAAGATCAGAAATACTTACCAGCAATATTTGTTTTTGCAGCAACAGAAATACGATATTTCGAATGTGGCAGCAGACCTTGAAGGGTAAATGAAGGCTTATCACTTGTCACTGTTATTGGTCGTTCTGTCACTTGGTCACACATACCTCTGAAATAACTCCCACATACATGTCAAAATTTTATTTGAAGCACTTAAAAAATACTTGAAATGGATCCTAGCTAATATGATCAAAATTACTGGCTAAGTACGAATTTATATATGATATTTATTATTCGAATTTATTGATGATAATTAAGATAACTCACTTTGATAACAACTGATAGGTCACTTCATAACCTGTAATTTGCCCATAGGGATTTTGAGGTTGTCTCCAGGAAAGTTGAAGTGTATCCGATGATTGTGGATAAATTCGTAAATCAGAAATTGGTCCAGGTGCTTTAAAAATTAGAAGACTGTGTATTAGTTCAAAAAAGAAAAAAATGATGTTTTAAAAATATTCGTTCAATTACGACTATAATTCCTCAAATATTCTAAATATAAAAGAAAAAAGAAGTAGTTTAGTTTTTAAATTTCAAAAAATTTCCAGCAAATTATATAAATTAAAGGTTATAATCATAAAAAGAAAAAAAAAATATCAAACCGGTTCCTTCAGTTTGTACAGTAACCGGACGTGACCAATGCGTTTCACCTGCCGGATTAGCAGCTTGTACTTCAAAAGTCCATCGTGTATATGGTTCCGAATCAAAAATTACATGATTTTCACCACGTGTTAAATTTTTGAAACCTTGATTATGTGGAGTGCTATATTTAACCACATACCACAATCGATTGCAGTTCCACTCTGACTCATGTAATTCCTGTGATATCATTGATATGATAATATTTTAATATTTCTTATCTCTTAACATTAACACATCCATCTAACATTGCTATCTGTTTTATATGCACCTAATAAATTGCATTGTGAAATTAACAATGAATTTAGGGCAAAGATAAGCATCGAAAATGATGAGCTAAATGGGTAGTAATCGATAAATTGAAAATTTATATAATATCGTCAACATATTATATATCAAAATAGACAGTAATTTTGGATTGTATATTTATAAAATCTTTATGAATTTAATGTCTAACACTTCTTATCTCTTAACATTAATATTACAATTCAATTAAAATTTTGTTGTTACATATTTCAAAATTAACCTTCCAGGATACACGAATTTGTGTAGGTCCAAGTGAGGTAGCTTGTAGATCGAGTGGTGCACGACGTGGTACCGAACATTTCATCTGAGTTTGCACATTAACTGCTGATGAGGTATAAGCAATACCATTATTAGCATCAATTGCATGAATTCGAATTTGATAGTTATGACCAGTAGGTAGCTCACTGAGATCGACACTGTAAGGTCGTTGCCAACCTGTGTATGGCACCTGAATAATAGCATAATGTCATAGTTTATTGAAAAGTTGAAATCTAAGACGTAAAATTGATTATCATACCTGCTCAGGTAGCCTTTGCCAGGTTGAATCAACCGAAGTTCGGTATTCAATTTGATAGGTTTGGATGAGATCATCTAATCGGTCTTTGCTTGTCCACGTAAGCACCGGAATTCCGTGTCGATAGCTTACTGATGGTCCAATGATTAGCTCACCGGTAGGTGGCGTTCGAACAGAAGCAATTTGTGACCACGCTGATGTGCCAGCTGAATTTTTTGTACGGATTCGAACAGACCATTGCTGATTTGCATCCGAATCAAACACGTGAGACGTCTGATATCCGTTCAGAAGCACCGGTGCAATACCTTGCGGTTCTGTTATCTCAAGTTCCACCTGTATATCATTACATTGCCAGGTGCTTTGAGGTGGTTGCGCCCAATTAACTCGGATATGACGTGGGTCAGCAGCGTGAAGTTGTAGATGTGATGGAGGATGCGTTGGTGCTAAATTGCCGAATTTGTTGAAATCAAAATTTAAGAAATTAAAAAATTTAATTTAAAACAACCTTAATGACAGACATATTTTGGTTCATTATATATTTTTAAGATTGAAATTCAGACTTCAGTTAATTAATCTCTGTTGTATTTATGAAAGTTTGCAAAGTTACATAAACAATTTCAAATTCAAAAAATAGTTTCAAAATTGAAAAGATTATAATTTAAGTAAAGATAAGATAGAAAAGTGCAATAATGTAAAAAATATTATAATTATTGCATTATTTGTATAATAACATAAAGCTTATTAAATTAAATATTAGCAAATTATTTTTAAAATGAAAATTTCATTGATAATAATAACAAATCTATTAATGTAATTAATATCAAAAAAAAGAAAAATCTTTAAATCATACCGGAACAAACAGTTCTTGCTGATACTTCCGGACTAGTATACATAACATAAGAATTTCTATCAAGTACTTGAATATGTATATAATACATGCTACCTTGCTGTAAACCTGTTAGTTGTTGCATATAACGTTTATTATCACCCACATATGGTACAATTTGACTGAAAAAAAATGATAAAACTCATAAATATTACAAAAAATTTTTCAAAAAAAAAAAAAAGAATCTATAATAAAATTTTGAGAAAAAATTTTTAACTATTTTATAAATGTTATTTCTTCTTTTTCTTTTCCACTACTAATTTTAATTTTAAAATAATTACTTATTTAATAAAATTATGAAAAAAGAAAAATTACCCATAAGATGTCCAACCGGTATTATCTGTTCGATACTGTATACGATACCCAAAAATACCATGGCTGGTTCTTACACCATTCCATTCAACAGATAAATCACCATCATGTGCTAATACCCGTAGATCCGAAATAAGCTCTAAAATTTATAAATTTGAAGTTTTTTTTAAAATTGTTTTTAAAAAATTTGAAAATAATGAGCATGCAATAGCATCAATAACAATAACAATAACTACAGTAACAATAAACAATAAGTACTAATGTTACATATAAATCAATATTATATCATAGATTGCATCATGCTATGATTAGTTCATATCATATAATAACTTACCATTAGACAAGAAAATATTATGATCATTCCTATTGAAAAATATAAAATGATATATGTATATATATAATAATACGAAATCAAATATCACAATAATTCATCAATTCAGATATTTGAAATTAAATATTCAAGAAAAAAAAATGTAACAATACTTTCTAAATAAGAATAATTTCAAAATGCTAATATTATCTGTAATAAATTATATAGCATTACCATCTTTTTATATTTATCATTTCAAAAAAAAAAAAAAGATGGTAAAAAATTTTCAAGAACAGAAATGAAATCATAGGAATCGTAAAAATTTGATTATCACAACTGGTAAATATAAATGATAACATATCAGTGAGTCATTTGCTTCACAATGATGAATCAGTGCAGCACTATAGAATGGATAATTTAAATGTTAAATGGGTTATACAGCTTATATTGTATTTCCTTATCAAATGATATGAATGCTTTGTCATAATCAGAACTAAAAAAAAAAAAGAAAAAGAAAACAATTAAATAAATAAAAATAAAATAAAGTGCTTAATTTATGGATGAGCACTAATTAGTGCAATTAAGCCAGTATTGAATAAATTATTTCGAGTTATGCAAAAAATAAACAAAATTAAAATTAAAAAAAAAATTGCAATTCTAGTGAAAAAAAAAAGAAAAAAAGAAAAAAAGAAAGGTGATTGCTTAGGATAAGAAGTTATTTAATTTAAACATAGGATAAGAGGAGCGAACATAATATCAAGGTGACACGCCACAGCACACGTAATCAAACCTTCATTAGGATGACGAGATATAGCAACTTCGTAAGTTTCATCCGGTGAACGACACCAGAAATCTACACGTGGATCACAGATGCTACGTAGAACACGAAGACCTTTGGATACTGGAAAGGGGACAAATGACTTAATGATGACAATAAGCGCTAAAATCACTGGAAGATATCATTGCTTCTTCTCATTCACATATAGCTTTAGAATTGTTGGAATAAGATGAAAGAGATAGAAAATTAATTAGAAAAGTAACTTTATTTGATAAATCTCAATTTTCTAATGTTATCTACTTTTTATGTTATGATTACATATTAATCACTGAAAAGATAATATTTCTGCTATTAACATTTATCTGTCTTATCTACTTGTTTCTCTTATTAATTCTACAATTATAATTTTTCTTTCTGTTTGCACAAAAGACGATTACTGTTTAATTTCGAGATATTATACAAAAATAACCTATTATCAAAAGACTATTAGCAAATAATCAAATAATCAAAGATTAGGATTGATAACTGAGAAGAAATCAAAATTTAACAATCGAAATTTAACAACTTTTTTAGTAAATTGAATGAGCATAGACTAAAAATTGACAATTGAATTGCATATAAATACAAATAGAAAACTGAAGTATAATAAATTGTTAAAGATTGAATATTTTAAACAAATCATTAATGCTTAATTGATTAATTAGTTTTAAACAAATCATTAATCTTAATTAATTTTTGTCTCTTACTAATATCATATAATTCATAATCGTCCTCTACGATTAGAAAATGATCTAATCAAGTTTAAAATTTAATTATTCTATTTTTAACAGTAATTACTCCATTTTTCCTACAGTTAAGAAATAGAAAAAAAAAAGCTATACGGAGCCAAAACGCTACAAAATTCTGCAAAAATCATCATAACTTCATATGAATTGAACAATACCTTTTGAATTACTCTGCAAATTTACAGGACCACTACTGGGTCCAGTTCCGGCACGATTTCCAGCACGCATTTCCACATGCCATTCGTTAGCGTTTGTATTGCGGAAAGTAAATTGACGCTGCCTACCCGTAACTCGTTCCGAAAATGGTACACCATTTTGGTATCCTGTTATTAGAAAATATGATTCACATTCATGATTCTCTTCATCTGACCAATTCCAGGTAAGTTGAATTCCTTCTGCTACATTTTCCAATCGTAAATCTTGAGGTGAGCTATTAGGCACTGAAAAAATTATTGCTATAATGATAATGTTATGTTAAAATTAAATACCTAACATATTCAAATTTTAAACAATTAATTGTGAAAGAGACAAAATGAAATTACAAATATTTGATGCATAGAATTCCTTTTCGACTTAGAATATAGTCAAATTAATTAAATTTAGTGATTTTAAAGTGAAAGTGCATTTTGAACATTACAGAATATTCTGAGAGCATTTTTACCAGATAATATCACAAATGCAAAGTAATATATATACCTTGGCAATGAACAGTAAAACTTGTCGCTTCTGATGTCGCAAGAATGCGTCGTGATTGATCAATAGCTGACACTTTAACGTAATAATGTTTATTAGTTTCTAAATTAATTAATTCCTGTCGAAAATGAATTTCTGACGGTGAATGAGAAAGGTAACCATCAATAGTTTTCCATTCATTATCTGAATCTGAACGAAGATCAATCTGAAAATTCAAAAAAAAAAAAAACTTAACTGTTAACTGAAAATTTATTAACTTTGTTTTAAAATTAATATTAATTAATAAGGTAAAAGGCTATATTGATTATTTAAATAACAAATGAGTGATTGGTATTCCAATAAAATTTTGCACAATAAACTTGTAAGAATTGCAAATAATTTTCATAAAAAATTACAACAAACCTGATATGCTACCACATTTGACGTATCACCGCCGACGGTCCAGTATAGCAGAATACGTGATCCACGTTGCTCGATACGTGGTTTATCAATACCAAGAAGTGGTTTTTGTATGTCACCTAAGTAAATTATTTTTAGCTTATTTATATAAATAATTTCAAAATGAAATTAAATTGTTTTTTTTTTTTCACTTAAATTAGTCTAAATTGATAGCAAAATTTATCACACAAAAAAAAAAAAAAAAACTCTAATAAATTAAAAGATGTCAAATTTGTGTAAAAGCATGCAAAAATGTGCAAATAAGCATGCAGCGATAGAGAAAATACTTAAGCATGCATGCAGTGATGCAATAAGTAAGCAAATATTTACTGTCACACTTTGATTAAATCATTTTTCAACAGAAAGTACATCTTTACTTATAAGTTATGAAAGAATAGAAAAGTGGATGAGATTTGATGAACGTACGTCATCGAATAAAAGATAAAAAATATTTGTCATTGTAGTAAATTATTGAAACACTCAAGTTTATTCATATTTCACGCTTGTTAAACGTTGTTAGCTATCACACGTGTCAGCATAGTTCGTTGTTACGTCCTCTCACCTCGTCTGTTATTTGTTTCCGGTAACACCTGAATATGATCCAGTTGTTGTTGTTGTTCCAGTTCTAAACGTTCTTTCTCTTCCCCTTCGATATTTTCTTCTTCTGCTACTGAGTTCCGCCTTTGTTCCGTGTCATGCTCTTGTCGTTGATGAATCAATCGATGATTACGTTCACGTTCCTTTTCCCATTGTTCACGTTCTCTTTCCCATTGTTGCCGCTGATATAATTCCATACGTTCACGTTCGAGCTGTTGTTGACGTTCATAGTACTGTTGCTGTTTCTGTTGCTCATATTCCTGTTGTTGCTCCGTTGCTCGATCGATATGTTCATATTTTAAATGTTCACGTGGACGTTCATGCTTATACGTGACTCGATTACGCTCACGTTCCCTATTCAACCTGTCATATTCCATTTGCAATCTTTTACGCTCACATTCTTTTATTCTGTTCCGTTTCCGTTCTTCCTCCTCTATTTGTTCTCTCTCAAATTTATTCCTTTCACTTTCTTCTTTCATTTTTATTTGTTTTTGCTGTTCAATTTGTTGTTGTTTCAATCTGTCTTCTTCATCCGATAAATGATGTGACAATTTGTCATCCTTGTTACCTTGTAAAGAAATAACCTTGAATATAGGTGCACCTAATTCACCAAAATCGGTTCCAGCACGAACAGAAACATTGTAAATGGAATATGGTGATAGTTGACTAAGGATAGAGGAAAAAAATGACCCTGGTACCTGTTCAGTTCGTACTTTCCTTGTATGCAGATCTTCTATTTCAATCTAAATTGAACCGACTAATTAACTAATTAACAAAATACGACTAATTTTAGATTTTGTTTCCTTTTTTTTTCCTTTCTTTTTGTAATGCCTTGTGCATAATTCTAGGGAAAGAGTGCTTTCATCTGTGATATAAACAAATAATAACTCTTTGATAAAAGTATCCCAAAATGAATCAAAATGATTCAGAAAATATGCAAGAAGGAACATGTATAAATCATGCAAATAGTATTTGTGCAAAATGAAAAGTTAAAAGTAGAGAAAATGGTGCCTGATAAAAAGGAATATGCTTCGAGTTTAGGGGTGGTAACCAATGAAGCTCAATACTTGATGCATCATGAGGATTGATCTGAAGATTGTGCGGTGATGTCGGCACAGATGGCTCCCCTGAAATGGACCACAGAACAATCTACAAATAATCCGAAGCATCCTTTTCATCTGTGGTTCACAAATTTTGAAATCTATTTCATAATGCATCGTAGATTGGAATTTTTATCAAAAAAAAAAAAAAAAAATTTCGAAAAAGAAAAAAAAAAGCACCAAGGGAACGGACAAAATTTTACTATTGCAACTACATCAAGGCATGCTTTTCCTTTTTTTTTTTTTGTTGTTGGAAAAGTATTTCTTATTTACATTCAGAAAGTGAAAAAAAAAAAAGGAGAGAAAAAAAAATAGCAGAAACAAATAGCATTGCATGCATTTTCATAAACGAAACTGCATGCGTAACATGAAACAGAATTGCGCCGGGCGGTGATGTATAAGTGAAATGTGATTAGACATGGAAATTATAAATGGTACCAGCTTCAACAAGGATGAAGAATAATGGGCTGCCATGTGCTGTCCATTCACCATTTTCTAATTCATATATTAACTGAAATTATTCAAAATAATTTCCAATTTATGTACTAATAAAAGTTAAAGAATTACGACACTCTCTCTCTCTCTCTTTCTCCCTTTCCCTCTCTCTTTACATGCAACAGAAATTCTAACTTACATCAGCAGTGTATTGTATACCGAATGAAAGTTTGGCTAAATCATAGCAATAATCTTCCGGATCAGCAATTCCTTCTGGACATTTGAAATATTCCGGTATTTCGATGATACGTGTCCATTGATCACTAGCACTCTTTTTATATGATAATCTAAAATAAATTTAAATCAGATCATGAAATTTCAACAAACTTCTATAGCAGTAGTAGTAGTAATACTTTCACTTCAATACAAAAATGTTAATTTAAATAAAATACATCTAAAAAAGAAAGAAAGAGCATACAATAGAAGGAAAATTAATTTACTTGAATTTAACAATTTCTTCAGAATGTTCAGGTAATGGTGTCCAAGCTAGGTATGATTTTGGTGGTGCCAAAATGATACGAAGTTGATAGATATTATGATCATCTGAAATATTATCATAGCTAATAAAAAAAGAAATGATAAAATTAGAGATAGTGAAAGTAAAAGTTATACTATTACTTTTTCATATAACAATTTACTTTCTTCTTTTGCTATCAAAAATTTTCTCTTATCAATTATCATTTAAAATTTTTCTTTAAAAGATAATTGGTAATGGAATGAAATAATTTTTTGGCAATTTTGAAATTGAATTCTTCAGGCAATAATTATATACATTGTATTTTCATTAAATTATTATTAATTACCAAAGTATAAAAAAAAAGCAATGAAATGATATTTTTATCAGTAATATGAATTATATATTCTATATGCTCATTTTTTTGTTAATTAAATAACAATTTACACTTTTTTTTTCACTATAAAAAGACAAAAGAGGGAGAGAGAAAGAGAGAGAGAACAAATATGAAAAGACAAAAGAGAGAGAGAAAGAGAGAGAGAGACATAGTTGAAGAAAAAAAAAACAAATTTATGTAATTTACATAAAATTAGAATAGAAAAAGCACTTTACTAACATTTATTTAAGAATTAATTTGCAAATATTTCAATTTTACTTCGTTAAACTTTTAACATTACATTTTCACTGTATAATTTACCTTAAATTACCTGTAATTTGATTTTTTTGTTGCCGTTTAAAACGTCGAAGAAGTGCAAATGTTGGTACTTCGTGTAACATTGAATGAAATGATAATGGGTTATTTGTGGTTAATTGTGATTGATAGTGATATCGACGAGAATTGCCATTACTGGTGGATACTAAATGTTAGTTTTACTATAAAGTTAAAAAAGAACAAATAGCATTATCAATAGACAAAAACAAAAAACAAAATTATGTGACACAATTACAACACTTCGTCATTTTACATTCAAAAAGTTAAAGTTTGAAGGCATTACATTTGATTAAAAGTAAGTAAAGCATTTTACCTTAATACATTTGATTAAAAGTAAGTAAAGCATTTTACCTTAATGAATATTTCTTTAAATAACGATATTAAAAGAATCGTCTTAAATTTGATGATTTCATTGCTTTTTTAAATCTATTTCAAATTTCACTACAATAATATACAGCCTCATTAAATAGTAAAAAAAAAATATTATTAGAAAACTAAAGAGGGAGAGAGAGAGAGAGACAATTTTCTAAAAGTTATGAAAAAAAAAAGCGGACGAAGAGTTTTAACTATCACAGCTAAAGAAGCTTTAAGCATGTTTGTGTGACATGAAATTAGTTATTAAAAAAAAATTAAAATTGATACTATAAGCAATCTCCAAAGTGACAGAAAATTATTGAAATATTAGTTAGAAAAGCAAATTGAACATAGAAAAATAGAAATCATATTGGAATAGAAATATAAAATAGTTTTTACCTGATAAAAACGATTGACGTACGTCATTTAGCGTAAACTTTCGATAATTTTACAAAGATTAATATGTGAAAACACATTTTTTCTTTTTGATCAATGAAAGTGCATAATCTAACAGAAATTTTATGACATTTTTTTCGAGAAAAAAATGTCATAAAATCTGCGATGCGTTTGTTGAAGTAAAAAGAAAAAAAAAATTTTATAATAATGTCAAACTTATGCATTTTATGTATTATATAGCAAAAATAACAATAATCATTCATAAAATTTCAAATATATCTATGATTACTTTTTTTTTGATAAGATAAAACTAATTTGCATTATTAGTGTAATATTATTATTAATTAAAAGATTATTATTAATTTAAAAATTTTACTCTTAAAATTTACCTTTTGATCCTGAATGTGCTTCTGTTTCAGCATTCACAATCTCACTCCATGAACTATGTCCGTGTCCAGCACGTGAACGAACTCGGAATGCATAACGTGTAGCCGGTTTTAAGTCATCCAATTCTACGGTATTCCGTCCAACATATGATGCGGTTTCAGGTTGCATATCTGTTTCTATACTCCAAAACTAAAAAACAATATTCATTTTTTTCCACAGGAATTCAACAAATAAATGGTAAATTAAAAAAAAAATAAATAAATAAGGCATATTTCTACATGAAAATCAATCAATTATAATAATCATTTATAATAAAAAAAAAAAAATTAAGTTAATGTCTTTCATAATAAAGTAAAAAAAAAACTTTATTATATTTTTTACTTATAAAAAGTTTTACTTTTTATACAATCACATATTAAATTTTCCTATTTCTTGATGATAGAAAAAGGAAAAAAAAAAGAATTAATTTTTCAAATTAAACTACATTTAAATTAATTGAAGAGAAAATTTAGAAAATTAAATAAACTGCAACCGTATATTCATAACCATCAATTGGTCCAAATGTTTCATCACAACGTGGCTTCTCCCACGTAAACTGAAGAGTTGCTTCAGATACGGCGCTGGTACGTACGTTTTGCGGGATACCAGCGTCACCAACGCAGGAGCTAGACGCTGCTGATCCAACCGTAATCTAAAATTTAATAGAATATCAAACAGAAGAAAAAGACGGGAAAGAAAATGATTTCTAAATAATACACTTAAATTTTTTTCTTTGTTTAATCATTAATTAATTTAAAAAAAGAAAAAAAAAATTTAAAAACCTCAGTTGTTTTAGCAGCTACTTTAAGTTGATCATCCACTGCTAAAATACGAAATGAATACAATGAACCATCATACATTCCATCAAATTGAATATGATAATCATCTGTCTCTTCCTCTATCATTAAGTCATCATATTTGCGCCATCTGAAGCACTCAAAATATTTATCACTAAATTAAACAAATAATATTACAATGATACAATCGAAATTATTATTTAAGAGAGTTTCATTTAATTATGATATGTTAACACAGAATATATTTAGCACTTTTTGGTTGTTATTCGATTTCAAATCTTCTAAATTTTTTTTTCTGATGGCATAAATGATTCATCATACCAATTTATGTGATACTGATTTCTCAGATGATTCAAAATTTTAATTTTACGTAATTATACATACATATATATATATGTCTTTTAATATTAATGATTCAACCAGTCAAAAATAATTAATTATTAACAGAAATAAACAAACTCAGTTTCATTTGGTAGACGATATTCAACGATAAATTTGGAAATAATTTGATCAGGTAGTGATGGTTTCTTCCATTGTACCGCAAATTGTTGTGCGTTTTCTTGCGTAACCATTGGTTTTTCTTTCCATGCTACACCCGGATCAGCTACCGTTTTAGCAGGTAGTTTGTAAACTAGTTTAGGTTCATGATCCACAAATGCTACTACACCTATATCATATTGGGTATCCGGTTTTAACCTAACAAAAATATGACTACTAGCCAGGGGACTTACACGTGCTCGTTCAACCGCTTGACTTTCACCATCCACTTCAACCGCTGTTACCTGAAACATATAAATAAAATTTAAAAAATCCATTGAATTTAACTTTTTCTCCTCTAATTTACCTATTATCTAAGCTGCAATAATGAAAATAGAAAGAAAAAAATATACATATTAAGTAAAATTGCAATAATTATGTATCAGAACAAGAAGATTTCAAAGTAAAATTAATGATTAAAATTCTTTTGTTATTACTTTTGATATTACAATCTTATCTCAATTATACCTCATAGTGTTGTAATCTTTCATCGTCATATGGTTGCCAACTAATGCGTAATTCTGAATCTGTTCGATAATCGATTTCTATTTCATCTGATTCATTCGGAGCTGAAAAATATTTTTAAAATTTTTCAGATTAAAGTAAAAAAAAAAAATTGATGCACAAAAGATATGATTAAGTATTAAATCAGATTTAAGCAATATCTAAACAACCTTCTCCTTCAGTTTTTGCTACAAGTAAATAATCATTCCATGGACCCAACATGCGTAAACGATCAGCGGCTCGAACCCGAACTTGATATTCCGTTCCGGGTAAAAGACTGGTAACACTAACTGACGGATGCGTTACTGTTTGGCGATGAACGTCAAATTTCATCTCAATACCAGCTAGCTAGAACAAATCTATCAAATTTCAATTAATAAAACAAATTATTTCAACGACAACAAAAGAACTAATTTACTTCAATAAATAATTAATTCTAATTAAAAAAAAAAAAAAAGAAATACGAAAATAACAAAAAGATAAGTGAAGATTTGAAGAGATGAAATTTCATTTATACCTTTATATGCCTTACGCAGAAAAAAAAGTATAAAAATAAGAATTCCAATGATTGAAAAATGAAAGTATTTATAATTTTTAGTATAATTTAATAATTGAAAGTAAAAATAAAAAAAATTTTGTTTTGAGAAAGGAAAAGGAAAAGAACACACCTCAATGTGATATTCGCCAACAGAGCCACATTCTGGAGGTTCCCATGCTATTGCAATACTGTATTGACCTGTTTGTGTCACCTCGAGATTTCGTGGAGCTGTCAATTCATCTGAAATTTCAAAAATAGGCATACGTACAGTAGTGGAAAATTTTAAAAACAAATATTATGAATATTTAGTGTTTTTAGAAATAATAATATTTGTTGATATAAAAATAATCCAATCTCTTTGTTCATATCAAAAGTTCACAAATTAGCCATAATTAATTAAGCTAAAAAAAAAAATCAGAAAATATAATAATTCACCAAATAAACATCAAATTTATCATTTGAGAATGATTGGATCAATCGATTAAAGAAATTAGAAATGAAAATTAAAAAGTAAATGATCAGAGTAAACAAACCTGATTCACATTTAATGCTAACCATTTCATTACGGGCGCGTATTTCTGGCGTCTCAACCAGAATTTTACCATTTTTACCTAATACTTTGATACGTACAAAGTAAGCTATACCAGTTGGTAGACGAGGAATCTAAAAATTTTTTCAGAAATGATTAAATAATTTAATTATTGCTTCTCTTGCTTCTTCAGTTTAATAATTTTGACTAAATTAATGAGAAATAACAAATGTAAAGTAATTTTTTTTTCTTTTTTTGCAAGAAATAAAAAATTTTGTTATGATAGATAAATGTAACATTTGAATTTTTTTTCATTAGATATTTTCATAAATAAATTTTCTCATAAAAAAAAAAATAATTTTATTTTATTTTTTAAAAAATTACCTGTACTCTATACTGTAAATTAGGTCCTTTATAAGGAATTATACCATCATGAACATGCCATTGTGTGTCTTTTTCGGCACGATATTCTACTGCAAATCCTCCAACACTATCATCCGGATGATCACCGGTTTGAATACCCTCCCATTCAACGGTTAGCAAACTTTGCGATCCACCAATTTCTCGTCGCAATCGAATGCGAGGTTCGTTACCTAGTAAAATTTAAATGATTTACTCATCGATGAATGATAACTTTGAATAAATGAAATATACCTTAGTGATATATTAAACAATTAAATATTTCCTCTAATTAATCAAAAGTATTAGTTTACGTTTACTTTTTTAGTTTTTAGCATTTTGTATGCATGTAAAAAGTCAACATTTTCTGTCATTTTTTTCATATTTTACCTTTGTTAATTGTCATATTAATTAATTAAAATTCTATTTTTCCTTTATTTCGCTTTTTTCTTTTGGAATAAACGAAAGTTTTTAGAAATTTGAAAAAGAATTTGAAGTGGATGAAACCCATAAATGGATGAAAAGTTGACATAACTATTACACATACCATTGCTTGTAAAATGATTCATTTTAATTATATCATTTAAAAAAAAAAAAATTATTGAAACCATATGGTATGTGATAAATAAATAGAGAAGACATATGGAAATTGTTATTATTTACAAAAATAAATAGAGACAAAAAGCTGAAGAAGTATTCAAATTAACAAAACCTCTTATCGCATAAATGAGAATTAACGCGACGATGAGCTTTTGAAGGCTCGCCGCATACGCGCTCATCCTGAAATTAAAAAAAAAAAATTTAGTTTTTAATAATGCATTTTTAAATTAAATTGAACATATAAACGAGATTTATTTAGCTAATAAAATATTAAAGTATATGAAAAAAAAAAAGTATGGAAATCATTAAATCAATGCTACTACAATAAAATTAAATTTACAGATTTAGAAAAAAATAAAGTCCTAAAATTTGTAATTTCTTTAATTTATTTGTTATATTAAAGAAAATTTTATTGAAAGGAAAAAAAAGAAAAGAAAAAAAGTTGCCTCTCTATAATTTTTCTTTGCTACTTTTTTTTTAAAAATTATCATTGCTTTTTGCTTAATAGAATTAATTAAGAATTTTAATTTAAATTAAAGCATAAATTCAAATATTCTGACAGATTTAATAATTATGTTTGGTAGCAAAGGTAAAAATTGTATGGAATAAAACAGCTAGCTAACAATAAAATGTAAAATACTTTATTTTTTTTTACAACATTCAATTTTATGCAATTAATGAATTAATTTTAATTTACGATTAATTATTCTATTTATCAGTACAAATGTTTAAAACTATGTTAATATCATTTCTGATAATTAAAATTCTACGAGAAATCGCTGAAATAAATATGTAAATAATGTTTAAAAATTGATGAATCATTTGATATTTATTTACGTGCGTGGAATTTAACATTTTAATTTATAAATATGAAATGATAGAAAATATTTCTGCTTGACAACTTTCATTATACCCATTCAAGTTCATTTCCACTCGTCAAATTATGACGAAGAAGAAATTCCATTGGTGAAATGATAATCATTTTAATTGAAGCTTAATAATTTCTATTATCAATGCGTAATCAATCAATTATAAGAATTGTATGATTATAAAAAAAAATAAATTGAACAAAAAAAAAAAAAACTTATAAATTTATCATTTTTTAATAGCAGCCATTTATTTAGGGAAATTGTCGCAGGAATATTTTACTAATTTTAAGATCTAATTTTATACAAAAACAATAAAAGTATCATAAAGAAATTATGATAAATGCTAGTAAACTCAAAGTGATAAGAATTCTTTTTATAATTTTCATTAATTTTTCTCTTTTTGTCCAACATTTTTCGCTTCTTCTTTTTTTTTCCCACTAATTTTTGAATAGAAAATAACAAAATTTCATTAATTATAAGTTACGATGAGTTTAACTATTCAAAAGTTCTTCCATTGTAAAACATTTTGTAAGTAATACAAATAATATTTTTTCATGACTTTCATTATTAAAATTTAATTTGGATTAAAAGAAATATTTATAAATATTATTATTAGTTATGCATGCATAATATAATTTATTTTCGTTAATGAAAAAAAAAATGCAACTTCAAATAGCGGCGCAAAATGTTATTCAAATAACTTTTATAGTGAACTTTTTAGAAAGTGAACTTCTTCTAACAAATGAATACAGAAAAAATTGACAGATAAATTTTACTAATTTTGTAATAGTGCAGAAAAAAAAAAAGAAAAGAAAAGAAGAAGAAAAAATGAAAAATTCATCAATAAATTCAAATAAAAATGCAAAAATTCCTTTTAAAAACTCATTATTACTCTCAATGGCTGCAACAAAATTAAAATTTTTGGAATGAATGAATTTTCGAAATTTAATTTCCGCCAAAATATATTTTGTTAGCATTTTTAAGCAGTATGTATTTTTGTTTTTGTTTTTTTTTTTGCATAATTATCAAAAAATGATTTGTGAATGATACAAATCTCTTCTAGAATTAATTTATAAACACTTATATTTAAAAATAAATAAATTCCATTGTTTTAATTTTTAAATAAATTTTTTTCAAAAATTACAAAGAAACGATGTAATGGAAATGAAATTGAGTAATTAATATTTCGATAATAATAATATAATTATTTTTAGAGAATAAAATCACATAAGATCACTTATTTACTAATACATTAATTGAATTCAATCAATAATTTGATTTAACATACTGCAATTGATAGAAAAGATAAGAAGAAAGAATAGAAATAGTACATAATGAAAAATAAATGTTTAGGAACGAATTAAATAAGAATTAAAAAAAAAAGCAAAACAAATGATAATGTTCGCTAAATAAAATGATTGATTGAATCATTTATTTCCTTTTAGTATGTTTGATGATAAGCAGAGAGAGAGAGAGAGAGAGAGAGAGAGAGAGAAAATGAAAAAATATTTGCAACCATTCAATTTCATATCGATGAATAATGATAGATTGAAAGTTTTCAACAGTAATAAATCTTGAAAATAAAATTTTGGTATTATTAGAGATTTGTTGTATGTACTTTAAGCATACAAATGCAATTGTTGAAATACAAAAAAAAAAAAAATATTGCAAAATTTAACAAATTTCTAGTTAAAAATTTTGAAAATTAAAACGATGTTAGTTTTTATTGTTAAATTTTCATTTAAGATTTATCTATATGAAATTTTAATTTGCAAATTTTTTATATTTCATAGTGAAATAACATTAAAATAAATTTCATAATTATTCTTGAATTCATCTAATCGTAATTTTAAATTAAAATAAAATAAAGAAATGAAAAAATATTGCTAAATCTATCTTCAATGAATTCATAAATTATCACTTTTTTTTTCTCGTTTTTACAAGAATTTTCAATAAAAAACATTTTTTAATGACAACAAAAAGTGTGTTCGATGTTAAGAATAGATTTTGAGATTACATAACAGACAGACAAATTATTAGAATTTACATTTAAAAAAATTTTTTTTGATATAATACATAATTTATAGATTATTAACAATAATATAAAATAAATTTATAATTTTGCTTTCTTTCAATTAAATGCAAATTTCATAGTTTTTTTCAGAAAAAATCCAATGATAGAAAGCAAAAGGATACTCTTCAGGTAGTTGACACTACGATGATTGATTAAATTTTTTAAAAAATATTTTAATGATTCTTAATTAAGTTGCTATAATACTGAGATTACGATATATGTACTTTTTTCAAACTCAATTTTGGACTATAATAAATGATCTTTTTCATAAAGCGATGGTTTTATTCAATTTAATTTTAATAAAATGTTAATGCGATTAGTAAAGGATTCATTTGTAGCACTAAAATTTGAGATTTTTTATCATATATGCATTGTTTTGAAAAGTTTTTGGACATTAAATTTAATCCATTTTTACATTTTTACACTTTTTTTTTTTTTTGAGATTATCTTTTTTTAAAAATGAAATTTTTAAAGTTCCATTCCATGCATTGTTATTAAACCAATTTTTTATTTTTATTATAATCCCTAGGTATAATTGTAAAGAAAACAACGTTTTACTTACGTGTTATGATACTTTACTAGACAATACTTCAAGTAATGAAGAGCTTATTGATTGGAGTGATACATGAAACGCATTTACGTGATCTAGATTGATATACGAAGTGCATTTACGTGATCTAGAGTGATATATGAAGCGCATTTACGTAAAAATACTACAAAAATGGAGGGTGATCACAATGTTCGAGAGAAAAAGAGAAAATTAGTGAATAAAATAATTCAAGTAAAACATCTGTTCCTTCTTCCATCATTCATATTAATGTTAGGCATTGTACCATCAAAAAAAAAAGCATAAAAAAACCCCAAAAGCGCAATCTAACAAAAAAAAACGAAAGAAAGAAAGAAAGAAGAGACATATACTTTTCATAGATGGCACAAAAAAGTAATAATAAATTATCATTTCATGGACTGTTGAACATTTTAAATTGTAGCCATTAAAAATTGTTAAAGAAATGAGAATATGCAATAGAAATATTAACTTTCCATTGTTCATTTCAGTGGAAAAATTTTAATAAATGTCATTTTAAGTGCATATTTATAACTTTGATATTTTCATACTTTCATCACTGATAACATTAATCATTTTATCATATCACTTAATATCTTTTTTTTTCTTTGAAATTAAACAATCTTTCTTCATATAAAACACATTTCGATGCAATGTTTATATCAAAGTTAAATAGAAAATGTTTAGTTCATTGTATAATTAAAAAATTTTCATCACGTATCAGCTAACACTTATCAGTAACAAAAAAACTTTTTCAAATAATCATGCAATGATAAATGTAATCAAATAATCTATCAATGATAAGTATATATTATATTTTTTTTTAATCAGAGTTTATCAAAAAAAAAGATTAATTCTACCTTCTTTTTTCATTTTAATAAAGCAGCTTATCTTTTTATCATTTGTTAATTTCCAAATACTTTCTTAAATTTTATTTTATCGTTTTTATTTATTTTTTTTTTCTTTTGAATAAAATCATTTGTATATTGTAAGCATAAAGTTTTATTTTGAGGAATATGAAAAATTTTCCATCAACAAAACGATGGAATCTGACACTGATTGAATTTGTCAATGTCATGAAAAGAAGAAAGAAAAAAAAAAAAACTTACTATAAGAGGACAAACCATATGACCTTTCTATTATATTTGTTTATTAAACTATAACAGTAACAACAACAATAATAAAAGGCATAGTGATGTACTGTAAAAAAGGTTACTTTACGGCATAACTGTCAAATGCTATTTCCAAGAATGAAATAAATAAGTCAAGGTTAACAATAATAACAACAAATATGAACAACTATAAATAACATCTGTTGAGACGAATAGTTCCATCAAGTAACATTTCGGCAGTAAAGTAGCATATGTAAGAAAAATAGTTGTAATATTTGAATATTTGAGAAAAAAATATTTTTTCAAATTAGTAAATTATAAGTAATCTTTTGCATAAAAAACAATCGACCTATAATGTAATAACTAAAATAGAAGAAAAAAAAAAGGAAGAATTGATATGGTTATTAATTTTATTGTGATATTATCTATCTGATATCAACTAGTTAAGATATTTATAAAATTATCATAATTCTTTTGCTATACTTAATTATCATTCAATAATGAAACTAATTCTTCCATCAAAACATTAGCGCTTAATTTGTCCTTTTTTTCTATTTAT